CAAACAGCCGTAGTCCGTAAACTGCACACATGCTGGGCTGTGATTGGCTCATGTATTTAAGTGACTCGTAAAACACGAATTCATATAACACGGTAGATACGTTCTAGATATATTCTAGACTAATTTGACACAACATTTCCAAAACACGTATAATTTTTTGGGAATAATCCATATAAACTATGCTATAAACAAAAAATTGTAGGATTACTTACCGAGTGTGCACCGTTCGACGACACCATTGCTGAAGCTTGTTTTCGTCGCGGAGCGGCGCATCGAACGGCGGGCGCGTGTTTTCTGATGAGTTATTTTTCTGCGAAGAATTCGCTGAACTTTGGAGACATCATTAATAGAAATAATTTTTATGGCCGTTAAATAATAAATGTTTTTTAGTAGGTGCAGTGCTCATTTAAACGCAACGGTTTGTGCAATATCCGCTATTGGTCTAGATTCGACCAATCCTGTCGCGACACGAGTCGGCGATGACGTTTTACCGTATTATACGAGTCTCTTTTAACGTGTTTTACGAATACGATCGCAGTTTTTTCGCCGTGTTATACGAATCCTTGTTATATGAACCCGTGTTATAGGGGTCTACTGTACAGATAACATTTAAGCTTATAGAGGAAGGGAGGGCGAGATGGAAGGTTTAACTTTATAATGTAATAAAACATAAAACAACATAATATAAAGCTTTTATATTAATCAGTCTCGACAGAGATCTTAGATGGTTAAAAAATTCTGTAATATTAAGTATAAAATCTGTTAGGAATCATGAAGTAAAAACGTCAAAAATTCCGTCTTGTCCTCACCCTGAAGGCAAGATGGAATTCCTAGAATATAGCGTGTGCGGAATATTATGCGGAGAACCATATGTAGAACCGCCCACAGAGGACTGGGTACAGTGTCCAGTGTGTTGTGGTTGGTCACATGAACTATGTACAGACACAAAAGATAGATGATTTTTATGTGTCAATTGTAAAATGTAGGATTTTACAATTGACACATAAAAATCATCTATCTTTTGTGTCTGTACATAGTTCATGTGACCAACCACAACACACTGGACACTGTACCCAGTCCTCTGTGGGCGGTTCTACATATGGTTCTCCGCATAATACACAAAACACATCATTTTGTGAGGACTGCTCCAAATTTTGTACTATATTCGCATCTTTTTCTGTTCTTTTCCTCTTTCCTTTACCTTTTCTTTTGCCATTTACTTTATTCTCGATGGTTTCTATCTTGTTATTTTTATTTTCTTTGCCTTTGATGGCCCGATAAAATACTAACTTTCGTTTCGCTTTCATCTCATTTTTTTTTTCAATAGCATCTTTGAATGGAAAACTGGTTAGGATATCTGACTTCTGACATCCCACTTTCCGCTTCTTTATTGTAGGAGTAACTTTTGGTGATGGCAGAATTTTAATTGGAGAAATAGAGTACGAGGTGGATGGTTGTTCCACTCATATCAACAACAGCTGAACTAGTTTTAAGCATACTATCATCTGGCATATTATTCTGTATATCATCAAAATTAAGTTGCTCTTCTTCATTCTGTTTTTTTTTTCATAATTATGCCCAGTGGTTGGTTCATCTGTAGTATCGATTTCAACATTAGCATTGACGTCACATTGGTGTTTAGTTACTGGAGCATTATTATTAATAGGAGCTGAATCTTCCATAACGCAGTGTTGGCATTTTTGTCTCCCTCATCTGTCACAGTGGCAATTTGTTCGCCTTCAGCTACTGGAGCGTTTTCATGAACAGTGGCCGGCACAAAGTCTAAATCTGTAAACAAATGTCTATTATACGGGAAGATGCCAGCCTTTCTGAATCCACTAGTGGCATTTTGTACAGTAGCACTTGACAAATGAAGAAGGCTTGGACCTAATATTCAGCCAAAATTCATATTGTAAACAATTTTAAACATGGAATTTTTTAAAACAAATGTGGCTATGATGATAGTGCTACAGCCTAGAAATTGACTATAGTATTCAATGGTGTGACGCAGCGGCGGGGCAAGACCTAAATTGATGTGGGAAAGGTACATTTCGCGAGGCCCTCTGGTGGCGCAAGAAGACTGATTTTATAAAATGAAAAGCAGTTGAAACTGTCAAATTTTTATTCCTAAAAATGCAAACTATATTCTTTAACTAACATTAAAAAAATTAAATAAACAAAAATTTCCTGCTTTTAGCCTTACTGAACTCCTTAACAATTGTATCGTAATTCAGCTTATATGCTATATATGCTTCAATAGATAAAACTGCGAAAGCTGAAAGTCTTTCCTGACCCATTGTATTTCTTAAATAATTTTTTATTAGTTTTAATTTTGAAAAGCTCCTTTCAGCGTAGGCAGTACTTACCGGTATTGTTAACAAAATTCGAACGGCACTGTAAATATTTGGGTAAATTTCTTTCAAGTTATTTTCTGTTATGTATTGGAGCGGCTGTTTCACATCTTTAATGAAGTTGGGTAAATTTGGGATCATTGTTTGTAATTCTTCATATAATTCGTAAGGTTGTAAGTCACTGTTCTCACTCACTCGCAGGACTGAGTGTAAATCTTGACAGTTTTTTAATATTTGCTCTTTTGGAATATTTTTTAACTCGCTTAGATCAGGGGTGGTCAAAACATGGCACATGCGCCAAACGTGGCGCATTGGACGATTACAAGTGGCGCTTCAGTTAGTTCTGAGCAAAATTGCCAGATTTAGCTTTTTTGCGATTAAGAATATTATATAGAAAAATAAATTTTTTGTAGTCTGTCTTGGCAAGTTCATTTGTTGCACAATTCGTTACGATCTATTTTGCAGATAAAATGAGTATTCTCCACATAGTAAATTACAATGTATGCATGTATTTTGAGTCTTGCGATCTTTATTTCCGATCAGTTTACAGGCGTGTAAATGGCCGAAAACATTTATTGTGATTAATGTTATTCCAAGCTGATCTCGTTCTCAGTGCCAATAATTGTGGTGCAGAGTAATCTTCACCAAACGAGACTCTGGCAGCAATAGCACCATCATGAAGCAATCACCCTCTCGTACAGGAGATCATTGTTGACTATTGTAAATTGGTGCTTCAATAAACTGTCATAAATTAATTAATTCAACTGCGTGATTAAGTTATTCCCTTTTCTTTCCTAAGCGAAGCAGATTTGTTCTTATCAATATTTATCAACCCGTAACATTGAACGTAAGACTGTATAAAAAGTGTTCGAGTTATATGGTGCATTTGAACTCGTCTGTCAAAAAATTGGCGCACGGTATGCAAAAGGTTGGCCACCCCTGGCTTAGATCATAAAGAAAACCAAAATTTTCAAAATGTTGATTTAAAAACATAAATTCCGAATCCATATTGCTTATTATAGAATCAATCGTGGTGTTAAAAAAATCTATTTCATACCTGGGGCCATATTCTGGTCATTGTCTCTGGTCTCTTGTCTCTCGCAAGCCGGTCGCTGATTGACTAATCCAAATGATTAGCCAATCAGCGACCGGCTTGCGAGAGACGAGAGACCAGAGACAGTGACTAGAATACGGCCTCTGCTTTTGGGAGACTGTATAGGTTGATCGAAAATTGAAAAGCGAAATAGAAGCAGCAGGATTTTTAGCTCTGTTTTCGATTGAATTCTAATATTAAATATTAAGTGAAGTGACAAGTGTTATACAGTTTTTGAAATCGGAAGTCAAGAGGGTTCTATCGGTGTGTAGGTTTTTGAAATTGGATACTTCGTTGAAAAGTTATNACCTTGCGTCTGATAAAGGCTTCAAAGTAAGCTTTAATTTGCCTTTGATTAATTCCCAGCGTTTCCTGGAACTTGAAAATAGCAAATAAATTTTCTGAATAAAACCAAAAAATGTTTTTGCTGCCACGGAAGAATTAGCTGCGTCTACCAACCGCAAAGCATAAAAAATGCCCTGGGATTAATATTTAATATTCGAGTTTTAACTCCACTATTTACGGGATACTTTACTACGATACTTTGATTGGCTTTCTAGCCGTTGAGAATCGTGAAAGTAACGTAAACAAGCACAATGGGAAATCCCCAGCTCTGGCTGACAAGGATTCCCAGCGATAGCAACCCAACGCCAGCAAATGCTGCTAGACAAATAAAAAAAAATTTGGTATGTCAATATATTTATCGTTTTATGACTAGTAAAATTTTTTCGTTGAGTTTACGGCTTTTATGTAATGCATAAACCTTCGAAGCACGAGGCCCCTCGGGCAGCGAGGCCGTAGGCGGTGGCCCACGTCGCCCACGCCTTACGCCGCCTCTGGTGTGACGTATTAGTCATATTAAACATTACAATCATTCGTTTAGTTACTTTATAAAAATTATTTGCATACGGTTAATAGCAATTGCAATCTTAAAAGTATAATTACTTGCCGTCATGATAGCATTTTAACTTTCAATTAATACGTGATTCTTTAACTAAAGCATGATATAAAACACGTTTGTATTAAAGTAATATGTTACCGGGATTTTAATAATTTAGTGATACGTTTTAATTTTTAATAAACTATTTTTATTGAAAATACTTTTAATATTTTAAATGAAACATTTGATTTTGATTGTATTCATTTATTATACAGTTCTACTTCAATTCATTCGCATTTAATCGATCTTCATTTTCATAATTTCATACCTTTAAGGATACGGGAATTATGATGTAATGTACGGAACACTTACAGAAATTTTATAGGTTACTTGAAAAAAAACCTTAAAATAGTCTTTCAAAAATCTGAGAGATTTATCAATTTTTTAAGGAAATCTGAGAAATTTTTCCAAGTATAAATAGACACCCTAAAGCAATACTTTTTTAAACTACCTTTATTACTATTTAAATAAAGTAATAACGTCTGTAACATAGATTTCATTCAAAATTTTTTCCAAAATTCTTCAACACTTGTTGATAAAACAAGCATATTATGTCGATTATAGATTAAACTTTGTATTTATAAGTAAAAAACCAAGCTTTTTGTAATTTTTTCGATAATGTTATCGTTAAAAATAACGAGAAAATCTCATGAATTTATAATGAGAGTCAGTCACGAAATGGTCAGCTGCATCACTTGCATCTACACATGCAGCTGCTCGTTGTCGTGACTTGTGATTTGTAGATGGCGTTGGTTTTGTGAATAAATCCTGTTCGTCGTTTTCTCCTTCTTAACTGTAAATATTATCGTCCTCGACCAAAACATACCACAGTCTGCCTTTATAAACGCACTAGTAAGTTTCGTTTACGTCCTTTATTTATTTTTCTTTTCTTTTTTATTATTCGTTTATTTTTAAGTTTGGCTTTATTTTGATTAAATATGCAACATATTTTAAAATAATATAACGATTTTAATTATATTTCTTGGAAAAAAAGATGAAAAAATTAGTAATAGCGCTTAAATCAATTACAGCTGCACGTGAGTACGGATGCAGATGACTCGTGAACTCATCCGCATCCTCAGATAACGGAGAGGAATCTCTTTCTTTTTTCTGTTTTATTTTTCTCCTCGAAAATTATGTAATTTTTGAAATTATAATTAAAAATATAAAAGTTATAAATCTAGATTTCTATTTTAATTAATAATTAATAAATGTGTGATTATTTTTATGTGTATTATAATAATTAAATTTCTCATTTTCAGCTTTTCCATGCAATTTAAATATATGGGCAATTGGAGAATTTTACAGTTTATGAAATTTTATATTTAAGTTAATGTATATTAAATGAATTATAATGATTTCTTTAAAAGTTAGGATGAATTATTTACATAAAATTTCCTATTAAAAAATAAAATAATTTAATAACAGTCCTGGAGAAACTTTTCTTTTAACTTATTTAATTTACCTAAATTGCTACATTATTTATATTGTGCAAAGATTAATTTTTAATATGAATTAAATATTATTATTATTATCTTAATTATGAGAATGTAAATTAAATAAAATCCAAAATATTAATATAATTTCCATTTAATCTTAATTAAATTCTAAAAACTTTACTTAGTACACAGTCAGATATTATTTTAAAATTTATATTTATATTAAAATAATAGTGTTTTTATTGAAGAACCACAATATCTAACATCATAGAAATTTAAGCAGTAAGAAACCATATAAATCTTAAAATAGGAGCATCAATATGAAAGGATATAAAAATTTATCACCAATATATTATTTCTTTTTCTGTTGTTTTTGTCAAAATTTTTCCTTTAATATATAATATTTTCAATTTAAAAGAGGTCATTTTTATTCACATTAATGATTAGATATTTTGAGTATTATTAAAAAAAACAATAAAATCCTGAATAAAACAGAAAATTTAAAAATTATATTTATAGTAAAACTAAACACCATACACATAGACTTGTATGTTATATTTATATAAACATATAATTTAAAACCTTCAAATTTAATGATCATACCTTGATTTGAAGGTAGCAATAGAAGTTAAATATACATTATTTGAACAATTGATAATATTATTAGAAATTAGCTATTTTATTATACACAAACATGTTTCATATATTTATTAGATTTATTTCCAGTATGATTTTTCACAATGCACAATTTTATTTTATCAGAAATTAATTATAAAAATTTTTGTTTTTATTATAATGTAAAATTTTTAATTTATAACAATAAAATAGAAATTTGAAGCAAAAAAACCCATAAATTTTCTTAGATATTTTTGGTTAAAAGAGATAGCATGCAATTTTACAATAGGGAAAAATAAATTACTATAAACTGTCCAAAGGGAAAAATAAAATATTGTACTGTTTCTAAAATTTTATCAGCTATAAACTGAATTTATAAAAATTTTAAAATTCTCCACAAAGCTATTTTAGCTTGTGTTAACTAATGTGTAGTTGGACTGCTTATAAGTAAAGTAGATTTGATTTAAATGTAAAAACAAGAAAAAAGAAGGATGTAAAAATGATCTAAATCTTAAAAATTATTCTCAAATGATAAAAATAAAATACTGATTTGTATATTTTATTAATAAAAATAAATACCATAAATATGAATATACTTATCTAATTTCATGCTTGCAAATATTTTCTTAGAAGTATGAAATATTACATGGTCTTTATAATAATAAATCAGCATATACATATTTATATATTGATTAAATTTTGTATTATATTAACAATCAAATATGAAAAAACTCAATTGAAGTTTGAATAAATTTGAAATAATTTATTCAAACTTTTTATTTATTTATTGTTAAATTAACAAGCAAAACAGAAAAGTAATACTTCCAATGTTTTACTGTTAATATAATAAAATATGGAGAAGGAGTTATATACAAAAAGGAAAGCTCTTGAGCACTTTTGAATATTAAACATTCAGGAATCACATATTCCAAAATAAAAAGCTTATTTTATAACAAAACAAATTAAAATTTGCTGTTATTGTCAGCAACAGAATGGTTGCTATGCAAATATCAATAGCATGTTCTAAAGCAGTGCCTCACTCAAGATTTAATCTTGGGGAGCTGAGTTGAACACATAAAAAGCAAACTCAATAAAATTTCCACCTTATCTGACTGCTAATTCATAAGTAGTATAGAGATAGAAGACACCATAGAATACAAATAAAACAATGAATTTTAATTAGGAAAATAGTTTTGGAAAATTTACTAGTGTTTCTTTTCCTTTTACTTTCAGGGATGCCAGGGTCCCTTGGCCCACCCGCTGCCACTGTCCTAAAGTACTACTTTATTGGATTGATTTCTTTTTTTTTCATTAACTGATTGGCTTCATTTCAGTTTGGTGGCTAGATAGATGTGCTTCATTGTTGGTTAAGTTAATTAAATTTTAAACAAAAACAATTAGTGTTTATATTTCTGATATATTTATGATTCATATATTTAAAAATTAATTATATTATTTTTAAAATAGGTATAAACATAGTAATAGTTATTAAATAATTAAATATCAAGTAATTTGGTCTAGAGGTAGGCATTGGGTATGATCTCTTGATAAATTTGAATAATTATAATTAAATTAATATTAAATAATTAATTTAGAAAGTTCTGGAAGAAAAGAATCAGCCTGGAGCAGGACTCAAACATACAACTCCTGCATGTTATATGGATGTATACTATATACCCAGGGTGGCCAAGCTCCTTGATAGTCCGAGCCATTTTTCAAAATTTGAAATTTTTCGCGAGCCGCTATTAAATACGTTTTAAAAAGGTATGCAAAAAATTTCAGATTACAAATTATATCCGTAGCAAGAGAGATACAAATTGTTTCCTCCAGAGCACAATGTCAACTGTCCATTGCAATGACAGTTTACAAATTCAAAATCGGTCTGGAGTCGGTTGATAACAGACGATTACGCCACTGTTTATATTCGTTTGCGCACTTTTTGATGAGTCATATCATTCTTAACTTGGACGGAAATGAAATTTGTTACAACGTTGCACTTAGTCTTTCATATTTGTTGTTAGTAATTTAAAAGACATTTTGAAACACATACGGAACAATAACAATTTTTAAAAATATAATAACACAAAAATGAAAAGGGAACTCAGGTACATTTATCGAGAGCCACAAATAATCCTTCAAAGAGCCGCATGTGGCTCGCGAGCCGCAGGTTGGCCACCTCTGCTATATACTATGCCAGTTATACTATTCAGATCTCATCTGATCTTCTACTTCCAGAACTATTAATTTAGTTATAACCATACTAGTTATTCATGATACTGACTAGAGATACCTTCAATGTTTATGGGCTGGCTAGTGCTTTACCATAACATAGTGAAATATGCAAATATAAACATAATTATTAAATATTAATTTAATTTTAATTATTAAAATTACTGGTATCAAGAGATGGCACCTAACATCTACCTATAGGCAAAATTACTTGACATTTAATTGTTAATAGTAGCACTAATATTGCCCAATATAATCAGCAATTGTTTGGCATTAATCTAAAAATGAAGTTAATTGATGTTTATATTTGTATTTTTAAACATTGTTCAGAAAACAAAAACTGTTTTGGAAATCTGAAAAATGAATGTGTGTGTGTGGTTTTATTTGTTTTTCAGCTTGTCAGTTTTCATCATGAAAAGTTGGCAACCCTGTAATATGAATTATGAATTCTTTTTATTCCTTCTAGTTTGCATTTGTTATTTGTTTATTTATTTTTTCACTTTTTACTTCTTCCATTCTGTGGGTTTTTTTTCCCCAAGTCCATTGTGGATCTGGCCAAACCTGCAGAGAGGTGGCAGAATGACGAGGGGTGGCCAACATATTTCAAATGGATCCCAATGAAAAAATTCCTGGGGTTGTTCAACCAGATTCAATTCATAATCCTTAGAGCAGTAGACTGAAGCCTTAATCACCTCAGCCATATGGCTGTCTCACCTTCATCATCACCATAATGATGATGAGAAGAGAAGATAATTAAGAGAAGGAAAAAATTTTTCCAAGTTTGTTTGTAGGCATTTTTCCCCCTGGCTCATCATTCTTTCATGTTTTTTCACACTGTGTTTGGAATTGTTACTTCAAAAATTGACAACTCTAATTATAGAGCTATAGATTTAGGATATGAATACAAAAATAAAAATAAAGTAAGGATAATAGAAATCACAACATTTTATTTCAGTATAAGAAATTATTCTATTGAAGCCATTTTATGTTATTGATATTCCATATAGTTTGGGTTCACAGATCTATCTTCAGGAAAACATTTGCAAACATTTTTTAAAATGCTTTCCTGAAGATGGCTGTTTACATCTCAAAGTCCAATAATTATATTAAAGCCAAATGATTTAGCAGTGGTTAATGTAGCCTAATTTAATCTGGTAATTGTTTGGCTTTAATGTTTCTTGTATATTTTTGTTGTAATTTTTATTTTTAAAAGTTTGATTAGATATACTAAAAGTTAATAATCAAATTTAACTTTTTTTATATTATCTAAACTAATTAAGACTGGCAATGATTTGGATAACCAAACACAAACACCAAACTATATATGTTAGAAAAAATTTACACAAATGCATTGTGTCAAGATAATAAAAAAAAAAAACTCATAAATGAGTGTTGTATAGCATTACTATACCTTTATTGAAAGAAATAATTGTTTATTTTCTTTTAAACAAAGATATAATTTAATTTCTTTGCTGATAGTTTCCTGATCCTTGTGAGGAGAATTAGTTAAGTAGAAGATGACTCTGCTGTTCATACCACATTTATTAATACAGCAAATGCCTAAATATGTATTGGACACAGTTTGCTTTTTTTGTTCTTGCACATCATCCTCTTCATCCATTTCATTTTCAGAAGGTTTACTAGTTTTTCTGACATTTGTCACACACTCATTTTGAGTTGAAAACTTGAAAAACTGCCATTATTTGCATCACTTTCCAACCATTCAAATGCATCTTTTTCATTGATTGAAACAAATTCATAAAATCAGACTGTTTCTGAGCAGTTTCTTCTTTGTCTTCTAAATCTAAACAGAACATATTCTACCTCATATTCAGATTGTCTATCATCAATGACTCTGAAGCTTCAGTTAACATATAGCAGTAGTTCTTCAGATTAAGCTTTCTAGAAAAAGCTTTAAATAAAACTTGTCTTTTTTTTGCCAAGAGTAAACAACTGAATTTTTTTCCTGTACATCCTCTTCAGGTTCTCACATACATTTTTCTCTTGTAATTGAGAAGAATGCTTGTAAAATTTTTGAAACAGGTTTTTTTTACTTTTCGATCACCAGCAGAGGCAATTAGTATCACTGGCATTTTTGCAAACCAATGAGATGATTTGCTTTTTCTAACTTTAACTTAGCAGATGCAAATTCTTGTGGTGAAGCCAGTGACTTTTGTGCAGCACTTTCCAGTTTATCTTTATTTTGTCTGTATTGCAGTATCATCTTTGAAATATCCTTTTCTTTCCAAAAGCTACATGAACCTTCCCTTCAATTTGTTGGCAGCTGTTTTGTCGCAAAATGATGGCTCTCCAATTACATACCTTGGAACCTGTTACCGGTGTGTAAATAACCTCAAAAAACAAAACATTAAATTTTCACAAATGTTTTCAAACCTTCAGCGATTCTTTTTCAGGCAGCAACAAATTCTTGTCGTTTGCTACATATACAGTGCACATGCCTGGTAAAGTTTATCGACTAACACATATTAGAATTTCGAATAATATTCGTATTTAATGGCATTCTAACGGAAATTTGTCTCCACCTGAAGAAGAACCCATTGAAGGTTCAAAAATGTTTGTGAAATTTTAATTTTTTGTTTTTTGAGGTTATTTGCACACCAGTAACAGGCTCCGAGGTACATAATTGATCATATTCCGGTGTTGGATAAAATGAAGTTATGATTGCTCTCCTTTAATGTGAAGTTCTCTTGAACTTCACATTAAATTCTTATGCCATGTTATGATTTGAAGTTTCTAAACCCAACCAATCCTGGCTATGTCAGTTGACTTTTATGACTGATATTGTTACCTTTTCTACATTATAGCTTATGGCTAAAGAAACTCCTCAATTTCCCACTTTCTATGTCTTGATTGATGATCTCTAGTTTTCACCTTATCATCAGCATATTGTACTGTACTTCCTTCTAGATGGATGGTATGCAAATATCGCTACAAAACAACTGCTACAATACACAATCCATAGATAACATGAAAAAGAAATACACTACACTTTGATGAATGAAGATTCTTGACAATATGCTTTACCTTCTATGACCTCCAGGTGTCTCCTCTGTATTCTCATCATCAGTATTCTCATCATCATTTTGCAAAAGTCTTCTGTCAAAAATACCATAGTCTGTTTTTTTTTTTTTTTTATATTCCTTGCTTTCCTTGTGTGTTGTGTACCTCTGACTTTTAAAAGTTTTTAAGGCTTAGAATTTTCTGTTTAATTATTCTTTATTTATAGGTGTGATGATATAGGAATATCCATTGACCATTTCCATGGCTGATGCACCTATAAGGAAATTTCTTCAGAGGAAAAATGACTCTTTGGTTTAGATAAATGTTATATGATAGATAAATATATGTATATTTATTTTTTCGAAATAGTAATCAAAATTAATTTTAGTCTAAATACTATTTGAGAAGTATTTTATTTATATTCACCAGTGTGTAGAGAGATTGTAATCTAAATACTGTTTCATAAAATCACTATACATATTAATAAAGAGAAAAGACACTTAGAACTATTCTATAATAAATTTGAATGCATTATTATTACTTTTATTATTATTAATTTTGTGTTTTGAGGGCATGATTCTTTTGAGTTTTCTTGTCATTTATTTTTCATGATTACTGTATTTTCATTGATAGCTTCATATTTTGCCATGTAAAATTTCATGAATTTTGATGTATTTACTTTTTTAAAAATACTTAAATACTAATTTTTTAAATTAATTTTAATACTATTATTTAACTTTCCTGTGTTGTGTACATATTTTGAGATGTTTCTATTTGTTGTTTTCAGATATTATAATTGAAAATGGGATATAGGTTAAGTAAACCAGTGGAAGAACAATTTAAAAAAAATCAAGAATTTATGTTACAGCTTCAAAAATTACAAGTAAAACTATATTCATTCGTGTCTTTTTAATGTAAAATATGTATTTAATCTTCATTGCTTAAAATAAACATTGTTTTTTCTAGTTAAATAATAGAATATACTTTTAAATTTAAAAATTTATTTTTAATACTGTTAAACCGAAGTTAAAATTTTATGTTTTAGATTGAACGTCAGATTCATGTTCAAAATCAGATGAGAGAAAGAATGGCTGCTATGCAAATAGCACGTTCGAGAGAATTGCTTTATTGGCTTGGTTCTTTTTATGTTTTAGCAACGATAGGCTTGATTGTTGGGTATGTTAAATAAATTTTAAATAAAACAATGAGTATTTATATTTCTGATAAATATTTTAATATATAAATCATAAATATATCTTTAATAATTTTTAAAATCTCATAGATATATATAGGCTGTTCTTTTTTTCAACCTCTGATGGTCCATAAGACAAGTGTAAATAACAAAATGAATTTATTACTTAAAGTTAGGTACAAACATGGTTACATTTATGGAAAATACATTTGTTAGTAATTATTTGAAATGATCACTTTTGAATTTAAATATGTAAAACTTATGTAAAATAATGAAGGTCAGTGATATTAATCTAATTCTTTTATATTATTGAAACTATTGAAAATATCTTAAATTTTGCTTGTTTTCAATTTTGATTATTAATTTAATTATTTTCAATATATTAGACTAAATAATAATTTTTTATCAATCAATTTCTTTCTTCAATGATCTTAACAGACACACTTCTGTTTTTTTAGGAAATAAAAAACAAAGTATATGTCTTAAATTATAATACTTTCAGTCAGTCCATAATGGTAAATGTTAAGTCCATAGTTAAATATTCATTTGAAAGTCAAACTATTATTTCCAAATGTATATACAGTACTACTAGCAGACCCCACCACTTGTTGTTGTGGCTCAAAATGTATCTACAGTCGACCCCCCCCATAACGCTGTTGATTTTTCCATTTTATATGTATTCCATGTTGTACGAGTCACTTAGATTTTACAAATACGTGAGCTGTTCACAGCCCAGCACACGTATTTGTAAAATCTAAGTGACTCATACAACATGGAATACATATAAAATGGAAAAATCAACAGTGTTATAGAGGGGTCGACTGTATTATAAATGTATAGCACTTCCCCCGTGGGGGGAATTTTTCGAAAAATCCCTTCTTAGTGTACATTCTCTTGACGTACCCTATTAAAATGCAAAAAACATTATACAGGATTAAAGCTTACCGTGAAGAACTCTGCTTCTATTTATACTTGTATAAATAGAAGCAGAGTTCTTCATGGTAAGCTTTAATCTTGTCCATCTCCCCCCAGTGGGGAGAATATCGACATGTATATTGTATATTATATAAAAACACGTGTGTATTCGAATGCAATGTTGTGTCAAGATTTCAAAGGAATCGGTAGGAACAAACAAACATTACTTTTTTATTTAAGCGGATTTACATCCTTACATTCTGTGAGGATGTAAGTTTGCATCCTCACAGAAAAGCAAACTTAGGTCGTTGTACTCGCGGAGTTAGCGCCATCTGTTGGACATCAAAGCCTTAATCCTAGATGATATCTTTTAATTTATATGAATGTTTAATGGAATAATATACAGTCTATGTCCACCCTGAAGGTCCATTCTAAATACTGGTGAAAGAATTTTTGAAATCGGATGAGTAGTTTCGGAGATTACCTCCTACATACAAACTTTACCTTTTACCTCTTTATAATATTAGTATAGATAATAAATTATACATCACTTATTAAAAATATATATAAAATTTGATAAGTTTTATCAAAAGAGATTGATAAAATTAGCTAACTTTTATCTCTTTTGCCAAGTTTTATCAATCTCTTTTGATAAGTTTTATCAAATTTTATATGTATTTTTAATAATTAAATAACCAATTTGGTGAAAAAATATGTAAAGAGTTAAAACTAATTACTCTTTTAATTATCCTTTTTTAATAGATTTAAATTATACATCACATTTCAAAATACATGGATTATTAATTCATTGATATTGGGAATTCATATCTTAAAGGATTGCTGATGATTCAGTTAATTATATAGGAACATATTAATTACTAATGTTAATAATAATTTAATTAACTTATTAATCTTAATTAATTAATTAGATTAAGTAATTAGTAAGTAATCCTATACTTCCATTTATATTTTATAATTTTTTAATGTTTACTAAAAATTCTATAGAAAATTGGATTTTAATAGAATAATTAATTCCAAGTTTTAATCAATTATTACTTAAATTCAAATATTAAATTTACCAACCATTATTAATTAAAACATTTTTTGTCACTTCTAATCGAAACTGATGACTTAGTATTCTAACATTCCAAACTATTATTTAACTATGTTTAAGAAAATAAATTACACTATTTGTTTATTTCATAAATCTAACAAAAATGCAAACTTCCATTAAAATATAAACTTTTAATTATATGTAAATATATTTATGTATGTATCATTAAGAATAATAAATCATGTATATCTTAGAGAAAAGATAATTAATTTTGTTTTTTTTTTTCATAATTTATATATCAGCACTGTTACATGTACAGTAATTATAGTAATTAAAACTAACAAATTGTTTGTATTTTCTCCTATGTTCTAATTACTGCAAATTTAATTAATCACACAGACAAATTACAGAATAATATTTAACAGACAATTATGACATTCTACCTACATCTCTTTACTAGAAAATAGTAGGAGTTAAAGATAAATAATCCACATCTTAAAATTACTCCAGCAGGTATTTTTAATAAACAAAAAGTTTTTCATTTTAGTTGATGGATCTTCGTCACTTCTATTCATTACATTGATCTTCATCACTTGTAGAATACAATCAACTAGATCAAAAATATTTTTGTTTATTAAAAATATCTGCTGAAATAATTTAAAGAAATGGATTGTTTCTTTTAAGTTTCTCTGCCTGTTCCTTTATGATTTATATACTAGGAGTTAACATATCCATAAGTCATAATAATATTTTAGATCCTTTTATTAAGAAACAGTTCTATAAAAGGATGTTTTACCAAATTTTCTTAAATCTCAGACATGTTAACATGTTGATTTTTGATCTAATCTTTGACTTGTTTATTTTTCAGTTTATTTATCAATACATCTATTTTTTCTATGAAATGAATTCATCCATTATACTTCTATAGTCTATCTTTTGAAACAACATATAAAATGAGATATGACAAATTGAATTGGGACAACTGACCAACATCAGCTGTTAATAATTGATCTGGACATCTGACCACTAAAAAATTTTCAGTTTCATTTTCAGTGTTCTTCCTCTTAACCAATTTTATAAAATGCTGATGTTATTTTTACTCAGTTACTGAAAAGTTTCCAATGTGAAATAAAACAATTTAATTGAAAAAGATTTTCAAATGGCACTAACACAAATGTCTTTCGACCGTAACATTGTGTTGAGTAATAATTGTCCACAAAAAAACTTTTATCAGTGTTGTGTTTGTTACAATATGCACTAGCACATCCATCATCAGGCCTAGGAGATCTTTAAAGCCAACGTAAACATAAACTCGAAAGACAGAGAGATGATAGTGCAGGCGTGGAGATACCTATTCGAGGAATTTGAACAGGGACAAGCGGAGGGGTGAAATGTGATACATGCAATATTTACATCTCTGATAACATCATTCTAACGGTCAAGGGGAGACAACACTTAGTCAGCACCTGAAGAAGACCTCGGTGAAAGTCAAAAACGTTAGTGCATATTGTAACGAACACAACACTGATAAAGGTTTTTTGTGGACAGTTAAAAGGGACTAAAAATTTATTCATTTATTCTATGACAAAATTGTGTATATTTCATGCAAATAAATTATATGAATAGTAATAGTAGTTATAATCCTAAACAAGCTGATGAATCAAATCATTTATTGATATACAGTTTGTATGTGTTCAGCCAAGATAAATTACTGTGATGATTGGTACAGGGATTCATGATCAAACAAAGAAAACATGTTACCAGACAAAGAAGATATGGTAATTTCACAAGTAGTTTATTTCACGTACATATAAAAGTTCTTAAATAAGGATTTCAATGTTGCATTGCCATACAGAAATGCATCAAATGTTACAGTACGATCACTACCTTAACAACTCAAAACTGACATATATTACTTGTGACAATGCACTTGGGTATGAGTCTTAAAACTAATCTTATAAACTAAATTACAATTAAAATTAGAAAAAGGATAGGTTCATTAGGAGGTAAAGAGTAAGTTTTAGCAAAGATAAGAATTTCAGGAATTGATTCTGTATATTTGATGGGTGAGATGCCATGTGAAACCTTTCACAAGGGTTGATAAGTTCATTTTCTTATATAAAATTCTCCTCTTACTTTCTCTTTGCAATCCTTAATTCTGTCCTGTCTTATCGTCACTATGATAGGACAGGATTCTTTCCTCAGACTAATTGATGATCTCTGGTCATTGTTAACATTGACTCGGAGTACTCAAATTTACATCTGTGGACTTCCCGGATTCTGAAAAGAATGACATGCCTCTCGTCCCTTTTGCCTCGGTCTTACTCTTTCCTTTATTCATATTAATTCCCAGAACTGGTAATCTCACCTAAGAGAAAAGAGTTAGAGAGTTCTAGAAGGAAGGAAAACAAAGGGCTACTACACTAAACTTATATTAATATATATATAATACAATATGGCTTGTAGCCATATTGTATTATATATAGACATTGTAGCCACATTACAAATGATTTGATACTTAATAACTATTATGAAATTACAATGCATGATGAACTAAGTATTATAATTTTGTATTTGTCTGTGAAGATGTAGTAATGTTTTAATTTTTGTGTATTGTGTAATACTGCTAATGATTCTGTGATTTATAGAACTGAAACTGTGAGTTTGATTTATTTGATTTTTTATAATATTTATGTAATTTTAATTTAATTTAGTTATACATATTTTTATCTATAGAAAACCTGCAAAATTGTAATGTTCTATAATTTTATCATCCAATATCACCTAAGGTGTATTTTCCTCTTCAAATCATACAAACATAAGTGTAGTTGGAATGATTGTCCTCTTTTAGTTATATTTTTGTAGGTAATGAAAAATGAAGGATTTTTTTTATTGTATATAAGAAATATATTATTAAACATTTGTAATAATTAATGTTATGTTTATACAGTAATACTAAAGAGGGATCATTAATTACACTTCAATCCGAAATGCATGTTTTTTCTGAAAAGAAAAAATAAAGATATTTGATCAGTTGTAACTGGATTTTTTTGAGTGACCAGAGAGACCCCCACAGGCATGTCAATAAAGGATATTACACATTAATATTGTGGTTCCCCATTTGAGACATTTATCAAGAAAATAAGAATTGGTTGTCAGTCTTTGTGTCATGAATCACTCTAAATTATTGTATTTGATCCATTTCTTTTTTTTTTTATATTCATGTGTAACCAACATAATTAAGTGTAATAAACATACTTTATAGTAGTTTCCAACATATTCACCTAACAGCTGTATTCAAATTTTCTGAGAATTTTTATTTGTCATTCAGGAATAAGAAATATTGGTTATTCACTTCAAATATATATAAGGTATGTAAGTTATTTTGAATACTGACAAGAATCCAGAACTGCAAATAAATTTGAAATTATCTAAGGTTCATATTTTATTCACATTTGTATCAACATTAATCACATAAAACAAATCAAACATTTATAAAATCTTTCTGATTTTACAAAATGATGAGCAACTGAAACTGTAACTAAAAATTTTTCAACAGTCAGTTTTGCTGGCAATCAGTAGTGATCATATGTCACATATTGCAATTAATATTTTTCATGGAAATAATGATAGCTATTAATTTGACTAACTGATGATATATTATGTTCTTTTAATATTCTGTTGTTATATTATAGAAGAAATAACACAGATAAGATACTTTAATGATAAGATTAATGAGTTTATAAGAATCAGAATTTATATAAAGAGATCAAAACTAAAGTAATTTTCTTTAAGATGTTTATATTTTCTAAAAAACATGAAAAGTTGCAAATGAAAATATTGAATGGAAATATGAAAAAATTCATAATATAGATAGGTATCTCTTGATTTTCACAACATTTTTATTCTTGTCTTTAAATTTTGACAAGTCCCTATTGGACAGACAAAAATATATAGGTATTAAGAAAACATTTATAGATATTTTGGGTTTGTTTTTAAGAATATCATTCACTTGTGAAAATTTTTTTAATTCTATGAACATGTCCTGAGATATTATCCATATTAAAAGTATCATAAGATATTAGTGATCTATCAGATTTTCTTGTTACTTACTGATAACAAGCAACAATGGAGAAACTTAAATATTAATTCACTTGTATACTAAATTATAATAAACTGACTTATATTTAAAGAAGTGAAAGCATCTTCAGCAGTATTTGAGCATCTATTAATACAGTCGACCCCCCCTATAATGCGGGTTCATATAATGCGGATTCGTATACTGCGGCGAAAAAATTGTGACCATACTCATATAAAGACGCTAAAAGAGACTCGTAAAATGCGGTAAAACGTCATCGCCGACTCGTGTAGCGACAGGATTGGTTGAATCTGGACCAATAGTGGACGAGCAGCTGAACTACTTACACGCTACAGAGAGTTTAGGCAGGTAAGATGAGTTTACTATCGTCTGTACAGTATATAAATTAAGTACTGTAAGTCTAATACAGTACTGTAATTTTATACATTCCTTGTGAAAAAAAAAAAACATTTCTTATTCAACGGCCATAAAAATAATTTCTATTAATGATGTCTCCAGAGTTCAACGAATTTTTCGCAGAAAAATAACTTATCAGAAAATACGCCCACCGTTTGGTGCACTGCTCCGCGACGAAAACAAGCTTAAGCAATAGCGACATCTAACAGTGCACACTCAGTAAGTAATCCTTCAATTTTTTGTTTATAGCATAATTTATACGGATTATTCCCAAAAAATTATACGCGTTTTGGAAATGTTGAGTCAAATTAGTCTAGAATCGATTAATTTTATGGAAGAAAACCTTTCAAACAGCTGTAGTCCGTAAACTGCACATGTGCCGGGCTGTAATTGGCTCATGTATTTAAGGTTTCCTAGCGTGAAATTCTTATAAAGTGGAACATATCTACTGCGTTATAGGGGGGTCGACTGTACATGAAATATTCATTTAGGAATATTGGAAAGTTTCCTTCATTTTTTGTTCTAAACTTTTTATCTTAATGGAATAACAGTTGATCACTTATTAAATGTTTCTATACAATTATATGAGAATTAAAGTATCAGTAGAAAGGTACAACTTTGTAAATGAACTGTAAAAGTTAAATATTAAATGTATTTATTTTCATGCCTCTAATGTTACTTGTTAATTTTACCTTTTATTAAATTTTATTTCAGCAAATATGGGACTTGTTCAGGAAGTGCAAAAAATATATATATACTGGCACCAGCAATATATGAATCAGTACCAGTGCTTATGATTATAAAAGAACCAGTCCTATTGGTTCCTTTTTTGAAAACTTTTTCAATTTCCACTCCCAATGGCCCCATCTGTCCATTTCAGCTTAATAAAATACCATATGAATATATATATATTTTAGCAATTGATATATTAAATATTTGTAGTCAAATAATAATAATAATATGTACTGTATAAAAGTTTATTTGATACTTATTGTTTAAATATGAATTATTTTTAATTAATACAGATACAGGAAAACAAAAAGAACAAGAACTTTGATACCAATTTTTCCTCTTACTTATATTGTTGCATATCAAGCTGATTTAGCTTACGGGAATAAACTTATTCGTATACAAGGTACAGTACATTTATATTATTTAGTTTTTTGTTAATGCTTTTACAGTAAGACCCCACTTAATGCTGATTCAATATAGCATGGTCTGTTCAAAGCCCAAACAAATTTATGCTGATTTAAATTATTGCAGCATTTTAGTGATTTGTACATAATACGATTATTTACGAACACGAACCAATCAGAAAAAAGGTGGCAAAAAGGTATACTTTCTTTAAATCTATGTTTGTTTGGTGCAATTTTGGAAAAAATATAACATCATGGATGCCATAGGCAATATTGGCTTCGCTTGGCAAGAATTAACTGATAAATGCATGGACAAAGTGTGGAAGAAGTTATGGCTGAAGGTATCCAAGAATTCCCAACTAGAAGAGCCCTATCACTGTATCGTTAGGTTGATCAAACTCAGCCTAATTGATACAGCAGGACATTGAGGAGTTACCACAGGTTCTGGTGAGAGTCTTATCAATGACGACCTTCAAGAACTGGCAGAACAAGGAATCTATGTAGAACTGGAAAATAGTGATTCTGAAAACAAAGAACCCAAAAAATTTCTCTATAGATTTCCTTAGTAAAAGTTTGGAAATTGTCAATCAAATTGTAGCAAATGATCCAGATTTTGAAAGGAGTGCAAAAGCAAAACGAAACATTTTGGATGCAAAAAACAAGAATTTCAGAAAAGTCAGGACCTTCGTCACAAAAAATGAACTATTAATATAGAAAAAATGAACTAATTAATATATTATTATATATTTCTATGTGCATATATTTATGTGTTATTTAACATAATTTTATATTAATTTGTATAATAATATAACTTTAAAAATTTTACTTTAATTTTATTTTAATTTTTGGTTGCATGTTCCCCTATCCCTATTTACTCTGTTAAAATGACCTCGTTTAATGCTGTTTTGGTTAGCACTTTGTCGTCTAGGAACACATCCTCTGCATTAAGTGGGGTCTTACTGTATTTGAAACTATAAATAAAACATATTTATTAAATATGCATAGTAATACTTGTAGCATCCTGAAATTATTACTGCTTACAAATTAGTAGTTACAAAATTATCAATGCCTTTCTAAATAAACTATTTTTTAATGTAGTTTTTGTTTTTTAAATTCTGTATAATTTTAATTTCAATTTCATAGACAAATTTTAGCATTATTTCATTAAATTTCAGAATAGTTTTTATTATGAGTTTTGCCATTACTTTTGACTTCCTCAACTTTCTACCCTGTGGGTAGTAAAAGGGCTTTTTTCCATCCCATCATGGAAAAATGCCCTTTTACTTCAGCTAGACCCACAATGGGGATGGCCAGGTGGTGAGAGATGGGATCTGATATAATTGGGTTATTTACATCAGCCATCCAGATTTGATCCAGGTCTCCAGAGTGATAGGTTGATACCTTAACTGCCTTGGTCATCCAGTCATGTATTTCAGATTTAGTTAATTAGAATGAATTTAATTTACCTTTTAATTAAATAAGTTTTATGTTCTAAGTTTTTTAAATAAATCAGAAAAAGCAAAATTTAAATAACATTTTGCTTCATTTGTTTTACTATTCAAACTTGTATATAAAAAAAGTATTAAAATATTTTAATTTTTTAATATAAATACGTTTTTAGTATTAATAATTTTTTTGTCTAAAATTTATCTGAAAGGTCAATAAATATAATATCAATTATTTTAAACAATTTATATTTCATGATGAATAATCTAAAAGGCAAACTTTCTTATATTACAATTATAAAAAACTTTAATAAAAGCATGTTTTTAAATTAGAGTATACTGATTTATAGTTCCTGAAGCCTCAATTTAAAAAATATACTATAAAATTTTAAGTTATTAAAACTATTATCTATGTATATATGTATTTTCAAAAACATTTATTTTTGTTTTTAAAAATTTTTAATATTTTAGGTGAGGCAGAAAATATTCTTCAGTTTGAAAATGAATTAGTTGAACTTCCTCGAGGAATTCCTAGTTTTCAAACTATTGAAAAAGCAAGAGAACATATGCACGAAGAAGATAACTTGAAGAAAGCACATGATATTTTTCTCTAGTACAAATTATTCCAGTATATCAGGTGGTAACAACACTGCCCAGCACAAATATTGACAAAATTATTGTCAGATTTGTGATTTTAAAGTGTTTTTTACTTATTGTAATTACAGTTAATTTTAAAATTTAATTAAATAATTCTAGAAACTTATTAAAGGTAAGAAAAATAAATTTCTCTCAACAGAAAAATATATTTTGTTTTTAAAATTAGAATTTTAAATTCTAATTTTTTAAAACTTATATTTTACAATTAACATTTTTTGCCTTTTTTAAATTTTTAATTCCATTAGTAGATATTCACAAAAATCACATATAAATAAAAATATATTAGTTGAGATATGAGAGAGATATATTAAGAATTATATTCTAAGTTAAATTTTTAGTAAAGGTGTTTACTGTTAAATATTTAACAAAGTTTATTTTTTCAGTTTATTATATGTAAATAAATTTTTACGTAATTCAAACTTAAATTACAGTATTTTTGAAATTTTGTTATAATTGTGATATTACAATTAATAAAGCAGAAAATAGTAGTTAAATGTATTGCATTAATAATAATATGAAAAATTAATTATGAGAATAATCAAGAAATGGCTTCAACATTACATTTCAAACAACAAATTTTGAAAAAGAAACAAGGTTAAATTGCATATTTACTGATTAAGTTATAAAATCTTAATGCATATGATTATTCCAATGAAATCTGAATTTCATTTGAATCTTAAAGCTTTAAATAAGATATTTATGTTTTATGAATTAAATTTATATGAAAATATAATATATAATTTGTCTTCATGTATTTTGTTAATATTTTAATCATACATGCAATCAAATTTTCATTCAAAATTAATATTTTGCATGTGATACAAATTAATTCTGTTAAATCTTAATTTACATCTGAATTATATAACATACATTATAGTACTGTATGTGAATGTACAGTACTTTACAACACACAGCATACATTAGACTGCTATATAATTATTAACTATAGTTATTAGCAATTCTTGCAATAGATCAGACCACTTACATTGTATAACTGGATGAAATTAGCAATTCTTGCAATAGATCAGACCACTTACATTGTATAACTGGATGAAAGTACTCTAGAATTTGTTCACGCTGTATATGGTATGATGTTATCGTAGAATTATACCAATCATAAGCAACAATGATCATAACCTTGATGTTTCCAGGGTATACTCAACTTGGATTGAAGTGAATCAAAACGATTTTACTCATTTGACTGCTATTTAATCTTTTCTTCATACATTTGACTTCAAACTTCATCTATGGCAATAATTTGTTTAAGAAATCCATCTCTTCATGCTTCAAATGAATTTGGGTGGTAGCATATTGTTGCCAATTTTGATTTGTCAAGTGATGTGGAACCTAATAAGATAAAATCTTCTGCACACTTTCTTTATAGACAGAATGCAGTCAAAACAACATTATTGCATGCTGTCTATAAAAGTAATTCCTAAAGAGTAATCTTGGGTTCTTTATTCTTCACTGGTCTTCCATTCTGATATTCTAGATCACGTTGATCAGATATGTTATCTTGGCCATTTGAGATCTGTCCTACCTAATTTGCAACAATTTTGCAGCTTATTAAAACAATCCTTAATGTTTTTCCATAGGAAAACTAGGATTTTTAGCCAGCTTTGTTGTTATAATCTTGTAAACATTTTCTTTGAGCAAAGAAAAATAGAAATTTCTTTTCATTGTTGCTACAGAAACAGAAGAATAATGTCACATGCAGTTGTCACTTGAAAGGAAAAATATTGATGTCCATTAGCTTTTACAAAAATCTAGGATGCTGAGAGTTCATAATTTTATCAAGAATTAAGATGTATGACTTAATTAACGGCCTTGTAATTAAATGTCTTCCAGATTTAATTACAAAACATGAATTAATACAAATTTATGCAACATAATTATTACAAAGTAATTAAATGTATAAAAATATTCATTAGTTTTTTAAATTGGGGGAAAATATATACATAAATCAATATTTCCACAGTCTCTTATAAATATATAATTATAAACTTTTACTTTGGATAATCAGAAACTTCAATAATGTGTAATGCACTAAATTATTTCTTCTATAACCTCACTATTAATCAGGTGAGGTTATGGAACATTGAACATTTTTCAGGAATTTTTGCTGCAAATCATTCTACATTTTTCTACAATCAATCTATAAACAACATTCTTACCTGTCATCATTATGTAAAGATTATTAACCGTCAGAACGGAAAACATTGTTTGAATTTAAATATTACAAAAAAAAAAAAAATTCATAGATGATATGATATAATATATTAAGTGTTAGTATAGTTTTCAATGGATTTCTGATTCTTTCTAGTCATGGATTATATTATTTTATTATTCAATGAAAGCAGATTTTCAAATCATATATTTACATTTTCAAGATCAGTGGTTTCAGTTAACAGAATTCATAATACAAGTCAAAGAAAATATGAGAATAGTTAAAGCAAACTAAGAAAAATGCATAAAAATGTATATATTCAGCTTATTCTTCCTAATTGTGGAAATGAAAGATATAATGAATTAATTTAACAAAATATCAGTTTTTAAAATTTCAATAGTTATGTTTGCTGAACTTGGGAATTTTTATACAGCTGTTACTGCAGATTATTAATTCATATTTAAAGAGACCATCAGACTTAATTTTCAATTACTGAAGAAAAATTGTGAATATTAATTTATTAAAATTTTATAATATAAAACAGTCATTTAAATATATATTTTATGATAATCTAAATCCTCCCCTTTTTTAAATATTCTCCATTAGAAGGTTATATAGTCAAAGTTAATTATTTATTTGATATTGCAAAAAATAGATTAGATATTTAAATTTTTACTGATTTACTGTAATAAATGTATAATTGATATGTAATTTACTGCACATCTTTTGTATTCAAAGAGAAATTTGAATTCCATTTGAATAATCATATAAAACAGTGTATAAAATTATACATCTTTAATAAATATTAAATGAGACAACTCTGTATACTGTATTTATAACTTTATTTCTTCTAAAAGATTTGTAGGAATATGAAATTGATCAAAGATTTCACTTTAGTGTCTTAATATTTTGCTTTGTAGATGAATTTGATTTAAGAAATGTATAAATTATAATTTAAATCCTTACATATAATCATCATAAATTATACTTCTTATAATTCAATTTTTTGATAATTTTTTAAATAAATCAGTATGTAAACAATTTTTTCATTCAAAATCATGTTCAACAAATAGATTAAATGACAATGAAAAATGTGTTCTTTATAAACTTATCATACTATCTATAGGTTTATAATGCTATAGTATTTATTAGTAGCTAGTAATAAATTTACAATTGGCCGAGTGAGATAACTTAACTTAACTTACCAAAATAAAATAAAACAACGAAGCAAGATCTTGCACAAATATATTTTACATTATAAATTTAAAAAATCTTTTTTAAAATAGAGTTTCTGTTTTAGCCTTTTTAGATCATTATTGTCATTTATACAATATAACTTTAAAATGAGACTAAATTGAAATTAGCAACTTTATTTTAAAAAATTGTATTGAGATTGAACATTAAATAAAACAAAACATGGAATATTGTTTTCTTATAGTAATACTTAAACATAAATAGAATTTAAATTTTTTTGTAATATTTTAATATAGTTGCATTTTCGGAAATTTATTTCAACAAAATGTTGAAATAATTTTAATTATTTTCTCTCATTTAGAAACTTTTTATATTTAAAATTCTTATCTCTTATGGAAAGCTTGATAAAAATAAGTTTGTTGGTTTCCTGTCTGATTTCTTAGATGTTTCTGATCTTCTATTAAGAATTCTTTGACAAATATTAATTTTCTAGTCTTCACTTAATTCTTCATTACAACACACATCTTTGCTTATTTTACAATTATCAGGAAATAAATTTGTTTATAAAGCAAATTCAAAACTTATTGCAAATTATTACAAATGTATCTTTCCTAAACAGCATTATAATGAAATGATGTTAAATGAGGACTTGATGTATAGTGTAATAAGATGTGATGTATGGTAATAAAAAGATATGTATAGTTAACACAACCAGAGTTGCCCTTGGGTTGCTTCATCTTAGTTTGTTATAGGGGAGATTGATAAGACACTACATCTTTTTTCTCAGTTTGTAATTAAGAATTTTTAATAAATATATAATAATGCTAATTTAATTAACTACATTAACCACATGCACTCAACCCCTTTTTCAAGACAAAATGAAGCCCAAGGGAGTATGTGTATTCATAAACAATTTTTTCATCTCTTAGACATAAAAATGAACCATTATTATAATGGAGAATAATTTTTATGTTATATTATTTGTGACATTTTAATATGTATGTGATATATACAAGAAATGTTTAGTTTTGAATTCCATCAATGACTGAACCATTTATAATTATTAAGAGAGGTGACTTTTTTAAGTTGCAAAACTTAACAAAATACATATTGAAGCAAGTTTTGGCTACTTTCAATCTTGTCTGTGGCTAAAATTGATTTTATTTAAGATCTGAATCACAGATAAACAAATTACAACAAATAAAAATTTTCAATTTTGTAATCAATGCTGAAAATTTCAGATCAGATTTAATCAATATTCATCCCTGAAAAGCCCAATTTTTAAATTGGACAGACTGATTATCTAAATACAAAATATCCAGGAAATGAAAAATAAACTGAATATATTCAATAACAATTTCTTAGAAAATATAAATTTATATTAAAAATGTTTAATTATTTACATAATTTTTGCTAATTTGATTACTTTATGTATGTATCCATAGGTAAGGATGAAGAGTTAGTTTGAAGGTAACTAATAAGCATTCATTTACTAAAAGTAATTGGTTAACTTTGACTCTTGGTTGTGTATATGGTTGTTATTGTTGTAATCTTCACTCCAATTGCTTTATTACTTCTTGTGAATAATTTTTGTATTTTCTTTTTTCCATATTATCATTTATATTTATTTCTAAGCATGCAAACTAATAAGCTTAGAAATAAATGTAATGAATTCTGATTAGATATCAAAACATTGCAGATCTGTGCCTTTTTGCATGATGAGAATTAGTAGAAAATATTCTTATTCTGACTGATGCAAATGTACTTTCAGATTATCTATGGCCCAAGAATATTTCAACAAAACTATAAATTTTAAAATGCGAGCATTCAACTCACTCGGCCTGTTAGCATAAGATTCTTTACTCTTGCATATTAAGAATTCTTATAATATATATATATATACATACATGTAAAGTGATTTTTCTTAAATTTTATTGTAATTATTAGATGCAGTATTTTACTAACTGCTGTACTTGATTGTAACTTTTATCTGAACACTTTCACTACTGCAATCAGGACAAAAGATGTCTAATCCAGTTTTCAATTGAAAATATTTCAGTCAGTTTACTGATAAAGAAAAATATGTTTGCAATTTTTACAGTTGAAAATAAAGTAGCAAAAGTTTTGCTTTGGAAATATTTTTATATTGAATTGATATGATGAATTCATAAATAATAGCATCAATCTATTTATATAACTAAAAAATTTCAAAATAATTCATTGCTGTTATTTATGAATAACTAATAATTATTGGATGTAGAATTCTCATATAAACACTACACTAAATATGTATTATGTTTGAACCTAAAACTGTTGTGATTAACAACTGAAAAATATATTATTTAAGTAATAATATGTTAACTATTTGAAAGTGGAATGACATCTAATGTTTTGTAAACTGAAAACTTTTATAAAATCTAAATATTAATTCTGATCTGTTATTTAGTTGTAAAGATTTTTATACTTACAACTGCATTATGCATGAGGGTGAATCAGAAATAAAATGTTTTCTTCAATAAATAGGACAGATGTTCTAAATATAAATAAAAGTATTTTATATCCTTAATAAATTTTAATTCTTTAACAAAATTTGTCAAATGTTACTATATAACTATATTATAATGTTGTTATAATGTAATCACAATACTAATGGCATAATGGTTTGATCCTGTTATTTTATTAAGTTATTTAGTGTTATAATAAATAACATTATAGCAATAATATTTCATATAATGAACTTTTAAGATTAGACTTTTACTGGTACTTAAAATTTATAAAACTGAAAATTACTTGAGTTGGTTTAATTATGCAAATAAAAGTAGTAATAAATGTAAGCTATAATTATTAACTTAACCATAAATCTATGCAGCAATCAGAAATAATAATAATAATTAATAAAATTTGAAACTTTGTCTTTAAAAATAATTATATATTTTGTAAATAAATATTTTTATCAGTAATGTATTAAATTTGTTAGTAAGTGTATAGAACAAAATCAATGCAAAAATAACTGTAAATTACATTTGAATCTGATATACTGTTGAAAAATGTTTAGCAGAAGTCCAACTTGAAAAATTTGTTTATCAAATTGCAATAGTCTGTGCAAGAACAAATATGTAAGAAACAAATTTAAAAAGTTTATTAATATTCTTAAACTAAATTTTCATTTGTGTTGACAGCAGTACCTTCCATTACAAATAACAGACTGTCCATTATGTGTACAGTTTTTGAGCCATTTTTTTTTATTCCATTCTCCCTGTAAGTTTTGCAAGTATTTTCTGATAGTTTATTTACATGGCAAGTAAGTAGACTTGTTATAAAAATTTGAATTCCCCTAATACCACTAAAAATAGTCCATGTAGATAGTGTCTGGATACCTTCCCTTCCGATTGTGTACAATGATGTGTTTCATGACTTCCTTAAACTGTACACATAATGGATGATCCCTAAATATCTGAAACTAAGGTCAAACATTATCAGAAATGACTTTAAGACATTAAATAATATATTTTAATGATTCTACCAAAAATTAAAGTATTTGCTGAAGATCTACTGTATACAATTACATTAATTTTCAGAATTATCCAGAATGTTAATTATTTTCAATCATTTCATTCTTTTAAATGATTGTAAATTTAACAATGTATAAGCAAAGAGATAATTTAATTTCTACAGTTACAAATAAAAAATATTACTTATATCTTTATTCCTGAAATACTGCAGATACATAGATAAATGCTTCTACTTAGAAATTATTTTAATGAATGTAATTTTAAACTATCAAAAATAAGTGATCTGTTAATTTTAGAGTTATTAAAATATTTTTGCCCAAACTATGATTGAATGAAAATTATAAGAAATTGGAAAAATATTCATCGAATAGAGGAATAAACTGTTTGATTTTATTTCTCTCTTTCATGGCTTAGAGATTCAAATTTTGTTTAAAAATTTCTTAGTTTATAGAATGGCCCAAAAGTCAGTCAATTATATTTTTGTTTTCTATGTTGCAGGTATACTTGTGAACCTAAAACATTATAATTTGTGTATTGAACAATTTTTGTAGATAATAAAATATTTGAATAAGATAGCAATTTAGTCTTTACAATGGTTGACTTTGGGTCAATCTATATTTGTCAATTATGAAATTTTAACCCAAGACAATGTTAAAGGTAAATATTGCTAGGTTTTTGATTAGAAAGCAGCTTTCAGGAGAATGGAGTACTTTCATACTATACTATTTTTCTGATTGATCCTCATGATTATTGTGATTTTGATATAATTAAATTATGTAAATTGTAGTCTAATTGAGCAATAGATGAAAGAAATTTTCATATCATTTGTTAGTAGAGTCAAACAGTGAATGTTTGAAACTGGAAAATCTATAATTTATTTATAGCACTTCCATGTAGTGCCTTGAATTTATTGATATAAATTATATAACAATTGTTTTCTCATCAGCACAAATATAATTAAAATAGGTGAAAATTAGAGATAATATTACTTGATAAAACTTTTCATGTCAAAAATTTAAACAATTGTTGTCATATTTTGTTAAAATAATAAAATGTTTGAAACTTAGCAATGAAATTAATATCAGATTTTAAAAATTGAACTACAAGCTAAAAACTACAAAGATGATACATTGATCTGGATAGAACTATTATTTGATTTCCATAAAATTGAAACTTATGTTGTTATTTAAAATCACTTAAAAATACAGTCAGTAAAAACATTTGATTAATAAAATTGTATTTAGTTTCTTAATAATTTACTTATAATTATTTTTTTATTATAAGAAGTTGTATATTTTTTCATTTCAAACCACAATAGTAATAATATAAGCTTATATGAATTTGTAAAATATTCTGCATTATCTGAGGAAAATTTAATTTTAAGACCTGTTTAATGCCTTTATAGCAGCTTAAATATTAAAGTTGTTAGATTAATACGGCTAATAATTTAATTTTTTATTCTATGAGATTCTTTATAATGTTAATTTAAAGAATACTTTTGCTTAGAAAATTTTTAAGTTCTATAATCAGAATTATAAAGATATGATAAAATTATTGATTAAATATTTGATTTTGTGAATTAGATATTGTCATCAAATCATAAATAATGCTTGTAACTATAAAAGATTTTCATTTCATTCTGAAAAATTAAACTCAAGACAAGACAAAACAAAATTATTTGAATTATTATATTATTTGAATTATAGTTGAGAATTATTGCATCTGAAATCATTTCATTGCTATGTTTTTATTATAATTTTTATTCAAGCAAGTTGTCCTGTTTGTTGAATGTAAATTGATAATGTAAGAGCTTTTGAAATAAAAGTTCTTTCTAGAGCATAAGTTTTTATGCCATTACATACTATAATTAGATAAACTGTCAATAGGTTGCAAAATTTATAAGAATTTTAAATCCTAAAGAAATTATTGTGAGAATTCTATATTAAATTGAAATCTGAAGACTATAAAGTATATGTACAGCTCTACAAATTCTTTACATTTAGAATTTACAAAGTTTTCTTAATTTGGAACTGACTTTTCAGCTTTAGAGCTAAAAAATTTAAGCCAATTTCAGATCATGATTAATTTCATTTAAAAACTAGAACAAACTCATTACATACAGTATGTCTCAAAAAACATATACACATATAATTCTATATACTGTATATATGTATATACACACACACCTATATCCACAATTCTATAGCAATTTGGTCTAAAATATGCATCTTATTTTGACTTGATACAATCAATGTGTTCCATAAATATTGCAGGCATTTCCAATAATACACAATAAAAAATTTAAAAGTAAATACAAAAGTGTTTTAGTGTATTTGTTTGAATGTTGCATTGTCAGTTTTACAGAACATTTTTACATCATTGATTTGGTTTTCAGCAAGATTTAAAGATTATAGTTTAATTGTTCAAATATAAATTGTGCATTTAAAATTGTCTTCAAATACTTTGATGACAGAGTACTGGGTCAATGTATATTTTCCTGTGGCAATTCTGTCACACCCAATCAACATGCAGCATCCATAATATCATAATTCTACTCATCAATTCATAGCACTACATACAACATGGTATGGAAATTGCAAAAAATAGCAAATATTAGATTAAAAACATTAAATTGAAAAATATAAAACTTTCAATTTAAAATAAAGTTTCGCCAACATTTAAAAAAAATTTCCATAAATCGTTACAAATTGCCTTTGATTTCACATGAAGTGTGTAGGCACATAGGCAGCAATGCATTATTCTATGAATCATCAGGTGACAGTGATGTGATCATGCAAAGTGGATAGACAGAATCACAGTATATAAATTGAGAATATTTCTCAATGTGCTATTCTAATTCTAGAGAAAATTCCCAAACATCAGAATTAAGTAAATATATATATTTTTTAATTTTTCGATATGTAAAATATATAACAATTCATTGTATAGAATACAGATTCTCAAAGATCATCTATTTGTAAATCATTTCAAATTAAAATTTTATCAGCACTTTAGAAGTACATCATTTTTTAAAGTTTAAATATCAGTTTTAAATGCTTAAAATATTTTGTTTTCTGTAAAGTCAAAAATGGAATGTCTTAGTATGTCATTTTGATTTTAGGTAAAAATTATAGTCAATTGAATTTTGTTTTCCAGCTACATTTTGAGAATTCCTGCTCTATAGAATGATATTTTTAAGTACTATTAACAACTTTTAAAAGTTATAAAGAATAAAACTAAATTAAAAAGATTTAGAGACTACAACTTAGTTTCTTCAATGATTGGAAACTCTTCAATTACATCTTCAACTTGATTCAATGCATTAATTAATTTCTTCCTAAAATTAGAAGTGGTATCACCTGACCCTGAAAAAAATTAAAAAAACAAAATTATACTTTTCTCATTTATTTAAATCTATAATAATTTATAATTTTAGAGAACAGAATCTAATAAAAACAATTTTATTAATGTGATATTGATGTGCCAAATACAGTATTTTAATGTTATTTCATAGAATAATAGTTGCCTGAATGAGAAATGTTACATTTTATCACTGGACTCTTTAAAGATTTACTGATAAACTTGAAAAATATCTGATAAAAATATCTTATATTGTTATTAGATATCCAATTATCACTTCAAAACTGATCATGTTTACCAACAGTTTAGAAATTAAATACACCTTAAATTGTTTCTTTGCAGACACACTAAGGCAGTGTTCCGCAACCTTTTTCTACTTGCGGCACACCCATGACTCACCCACGGCACACCAAAATGTTATTCCCCTCAAAAACGTATATTCTACTATTAATAGAATTACGTAATGCCACTAACCTATTATTATTGTTATTAAACAGACATCAACACCTACCTGTGAGCAACTTAATTTTACATATAATTTCTTAGAATGCATAAAAATGCGTGGCTTGTAAAAATAAACAAACATCATCTTATTTCATCAGTGCTGCAGCAGAAAATGAAATACAAGCATAAGAAACACAACAACTGTGATAAAAATATATAAATAAAACTTGAAATTAACAGAATATGTAAAAGTTCACGTCACACCTTTCACCATGTGACGGCACACCGGTTGCGGAACACTGCACTAAGGTGACATATATCAACACTTGGCAAATTATTGACTATTTATTCAGTTGGATCAATAATTTGCCAAGTGTCGATATATGTCACCTTAGTGTGTCTGCAAAGAAACAACTTAATAACAACAACACAGTTTCATCAGAATCAAAAAAAAAAAAAATACACCTTAAATGTTTATATTAATCCAAATGATCTTAAAGAATAAAGTAGTGTATATATTTTGAATAAATTGTTAAAAATAACTCCAGTAATAACAAATACTACAGTTAAAGTAAATAGAAAAATATTTCATATAAAGTAGTAACTTAAAAATATAAAACAAAATTCTTGATGTTCTAGTATATATGAATATAAACTATTAGTAATCCAGAATATAGTTCTGTTAGTGTAGTAACTGATAAATCTATAGTTACTATAGAAATAAAGGATACAAATACAAAAAACAGAGCAGATATCTCTGCAACAGTTATATCATTTTTACATTAGAAATATGAACAAATTAAAATTTTTTTTAAAGATTTAACAAAGTACCAATGTTTGCTTCCTGAAACAAGTACAGTAGTGATTTCTTTATTTACAAAGATGGTGCTAAGCTTAGTAACTTTTTAAAATATAGGTATTGCAGAAAGACAAAATATTATAAGTAACTACATACAGGGTGTCTCAGTTAAACATTTCAGAACTTCTAAGGGAGGTAGGGTGCATTCCGACGACTCGGAATCATATAGCAATGCAGGGTTGGAAATGTTTTCCTGAAGTGGTAGATGGCGTTGCACGAAAGTTCTGAGCGTTCTTGCAGGAAATCGTCATTTCGCACAAGGATGCAGAGTTAGCCAATATGCATTTGGTGTACGGGACTGGAGATTGTAGTGAACCAGCTGCACAGCACTTGTACGCGGAACGATATCCAATGAGGCATATTCCCAGTCATAATTTCTTTGCAAGCCTGCACCAGAGGTTAGCTGTTTCTGTGTACATCACCGTTTCAGGAAAGCATTTCTGGCCCTGCATTGCTATATGATTCCAAGTTGTCGGGATGCACCCTACCCCTCTTAGAAGTTCTTTCTAGTACAATCTTATTATAGACATATGTTTTATAGAGAACATTGTTCTGTTGAACTAAATGCTTTGGAAAAAGGCACATTAAGGGACTATTAGGATTAGAGAAGTGTTAGAAAACTTGAACTAGAAAATAACTTGTAATCAACTAAAATATTTTCATTGTAAAGAAAAATTCTAAAAATCTAGGACGTAATATATTTATAAAAAGTATAAAAGAAAGGTCGACTCCACCATGTGGATTATGTTCCTGTAATGTTGAAAGAGGACAACAGAGAAGACAAGAATAATGTATTTGTATTGTCTTTAATGCTTTATATTTTTTACAATGTATTTTGATATAAAGATTTTCATTTTCAAATGAATCTTGGAGGCATAAGTTGTTCTAATTTATAATTAATACTGTACACTATATTTAAACATAATACAATAGATTTGGTGGATTTACAATATAATAGTTGAGTTTAGTGGACACTCTTGAGATTAGAGATTCTTAGGTTAGGTGTCCATTAAAATTTTTGTGTATTTTGCAATATTCAGTAGTTTTTTAAATAAATGATGCATGTTTTATTTTATTAGCTAATGTGTATTAAAATGAAAATTTGCCAGTTTAAAAAGTTTTGTTCTTGTTTTGTAAAAAACGTGATAAGAACAGAATTCAAAAATAGCTAAAGAATTTTCAAATTATAGTGATAATTTGGTAAATAATAGATGTTAATCATCAATCATCACATAGTGATGATTAACATAATTGCTCTAAACCACAATTACTGCAAGCTAAGCAGGTAGGATTATCAACCATGCTATCAAAATACCCAAGCAAAACACAAGGAAATTCTTTGAAACTGAAGATAAACATAATATTTTTTAAATAGTGTTTGTGAGAAACACAATTCATTATACTATCTGCCTACCAGAGGTTTTATAATAAGAATGGTAAGAAATTTTTATCTGTTATGAGTATCTGCTTAATGAAGGTGAATAAAATACATTAATTATATCTATTACTATGCTGGGAATGGATGTTTTGTCTGCTAAATCCAGATTTCATCATATATGTTTTTTAGTTATATTTATTTATTTAATTACACTGATCCCATTTTTCATGAATAATTGGGATTGAGTAATCCTTCATGAATGTCAAACTCTGAGTTCCATTTTCAATGCTAAATTTGTAACCCATTCCAAGACTAAGTATTACTGCTGTTTTAAAAAATTTTCAGAATAATGAATAGTTTTATTAAATTAACATAGTGTGCAATGGTTTATAGTGTTGCAAAAGTCATTTTATTTAAACCAAAAGAAAAAAATAAACAAAACAGTAACATAACTTATGACAGATACCACACGAATGAATGAGTGAAATTTCTCCATCCCCAATTTCTATTTCTCTATGTTTTTGCAAATTTGTGGATTTAATGTTTCTTGTAGAGCAGAATAATTTCAGTAATTTTATATGAAAATCTTATAATCATTATGTAAATTATATTTCAAAACAGAAGGATTATAGTACTAATAAAAATTTAAATATGATAAAAGATTATTTATGGTTAAATAAAGTTATTAGAATTGACTAGCATTCTAATTCAGGCCAAGGGTGCAAACACATCTCTTGGCCTGAACTCCAGAGCAATATCAATACTGGAATAAAGGTAATCTTTATTTCGCAACATCTCAAAGTTCTAGATTGATCACAATTGCCGTGTTTTTTCACTGGACTTGATCAATTCTAAAGAGCTACATTTGTTTGAGAAGATATTTACTACTTTTTTGAAAACAACAATAGGCTACTATTTGAAAAATAATACTGATACAGCACTCATCATTTATTTGCTCTAGTTGGCTGATTCATTTTTAACATTTCTTAGTTGAAGTATCATGAAGCATATCAACAAAAAGAAACAAAGATATTGGTAATAAAATGAGGTTATCATTTACAACATAACACTGATATCATACTTAGGTTATTTGTTCTCATTGCTGATTTAAATGCCCAAATAAAAATAAAAGCGGGGATTTTTCATTCCCAATATATCAGAAATTCAGCTCAAAGTCAAATCTGAAATTCTCTGTAATTATTATTTCACTAACTTGACCTATAAATGAAATTTCAGTATTTTTTAAATGAATGTTTCTTATTAATATGATTAAAGTGTTTTATATTATTCAATTTAATATTTTATTTCTATGAAATATTAAATAATTTTAATACTTAACAATATGCTGTAATTAACATTAGCATTAAAAGTTGATTGTTGAAAAACTATCAATTTATTTTTCAATATTTCTTTTAATAAGAGTGTGGGCTACTTGCAATAAGAAGGTGTTTAAATATATAAATTAAATTTATTTTTCTTTGTAATGACAAAATTTTAGATACAAGTTTAAAACAAATGTTTATCTTTAATCTACTTTTGTATCAATAACATAAAAATGATTGTAAGAGTTGAATTTACAAAATACTTACACATAGTAAAGAAATAAAATTGCTGAGTATTTTTAACACTGATATATTTTAGTATAACAGTTTTAAACAGCTAAAAATCTATATTCAAATTATTATGGAAAAAATCAATAACAAGTTTCTTGAGTTACTCTGTACTATAAAAGCAAATAATTAGATTTTATTTTACTTACATAAGGCAGAACTGTAGTTAAGAATGTTTTCTAATTGTTGAATGATCTTTTGAAATTCCACTTCAATACTCTGATCAAATTTGACAGAGCCATCCACACACAAAGATGGAGACTGAGAAGGTAATGTTTGGATTATTGTTAAATTCTTAAACGTATATTCATCATTGGCATCTTTGAATGATGAAATTTCTTTGGGATTTGTTATTGAATTTGATTCTTTGGAAGAAGAATAACTGTTAAGATCAATAGAAGGTTTTTTAATTTGCAAATTTTTTAAATCAGGAATAGTTTTGACACTTTCTTCCATTTCCTCAGTAACACTTTCCAGTTTTTTTAATTCGTTATGAAATCTTATAAAAGTACTTAAATTATTTGAGCAAATCATTTTTCCATTGGAAATTGGAGTACTTTCTAAATTTGTAACATTATTTCTCATAGGTGTCTCACAAATATGTTTATTTTCCATGTTTTTTCCCTCTTCACAGATATTCTGAAAAAAATTAATTAATTCAAAATATAAATTCTGTTTAAAAATTAAAATGAAATCTTATATTTAGAAAATGTAAAAAAATATTAACAACTTACTGACAGTATCCATTATCTGACTTTATAGTAATGGAATTAGTTTGTAATAAATTGAGTTATACAATGCATAAATAGTATAACTTGTGTTTATTTTTTAAAAATATGCAAATTAATTATAAAACACCAAAAGAAATTACTATTAATTGAAAGCAAAAGATTAAAAAAATTTATAATTTACAGATGAAATTAAATTTAATGCTTTCATTCCCACCCATTATATGACAAAATTGCACTGAATATGTCAATTTGTTTTTCGTAACATATGTCACTGTTTTACAGAGATTAAGAAGAATAAAACTTTTTCATTAATGTCCTTGGTAGGTGCCAATAACTCAATTTTGCATCATTACACAGAATTCAAATTCTATGAAGATACTTGAAATGAAAAACTACTGTATAGTTTTATTAAATATTTTCTGGAAAACAAAGAAACCAAGAATAAAGTATAATCTTGAAAATATTTTTGCTGTTTCTAAAAACTAAATAGTTGGATGATGAAGTTTTGTAAACAATTTTCTCACAAATGTCATTCAAGTAAATAAACATATATACAAATGTTTTCCTTTTCATAATTTTTTTTGCTACATCAAAAACTTATTTATATATATGTAAATTTTAATCTGGTAAGTCAATGTTGTTGAATTTGACAGATTTATTTGGCTGCAATTTTGAAAAAATTGTAGACCTATAAATTTCCACTGCGACCATCTGTCCTTCCTTAACCTCAAGAACAGAGTTAAATAGATGAAAGCATGTACGTAAAGCTTGGGGGCAGGAGGCCCTGATTAATTATATACGAACTTCTGGTTCAAACTGGAAGTCACATTATTTCAATTCAAACATTTTCCCCTGAAAACAGATAGATGACTGGCATGACTTTATTGCTAACAGGAAAAGTGTGATGTACAGGAGCAAGACACTACTAATTTAAGGTGGAGAGCATATATTTTAAATTAAAAATTGCAGCCCAGCTTTATGATAAAGTTACAACAAATAATTGCTTGTTTAGCATTATGAATGTTATTCTTGTTCAAACTTTCATATTTTAATCCATAATCAATATTACTTTTCATCACATGTGATAATCATAATTTTAATTAATGTCTGTGAGTAATTTAAAATATTTTTATCTCCTTAAATACCAATTTAGACATGGAAGTTTAAAATTTTAATAGAAGATTATTGAAAGACAGCACACTTTAACCATTATTGTAATGACATTAGTTCATGGTCTTTTATTTAACTTCTAAATTTGGATTTTTTAAAATAAATGCTAAAATTTATAAAAATAGTTTTCATATATTCTCCTGTCTGCAGATGACAAACAGGTTACATAACTAATTTAGTTGAGATCAACATAAAATTCCCAAAATGTTTTCATAGACTGGAAACATTCAAAAGATTCTAATATCACTTCACAAACACAATAAGCAGACAAATATTTTTTGATTATTGATGCTTAAAATGATTTTTTTCATTGATCTAGATCCAGCAGTCAGCAACCTTTCTCACCTCAAGGACCTCTAAAGTCACAATTTTGAATCCTGCAAACCAATATCATGAATTTTTTTAAACAATACAAAATCTGTAGAATAATAATCATAAAAGTTCAATTTTACTATATTAATATGAAACTAACATGTTTAGGCTTGCATTAATTTGTTATAATTAAAGTTCATTGCTGCTTGTTTGAAACAAGTTTATGGATTCTTCGTGCCTTTCCACGAAGGACGACAATCACACAATATTGTTTATTGTTCATTATTTATTGATAACAGTCACTTTGTTTTTGGTTTTAGATTCGAATAAAAAACCCCAATGAGTGAAAAAAGCAACTAAGCATTTTGCATTTCTTTCATAATACTTCGCGTAACCTTCAGTTGATCAATGTTCAAATTTCTCTAAGGACCACCCAAATTTTCTCACGGACCACTGGTTGCCGACCGTTGATCTAGACATCTTTAGGAACACAGGTGTGAATAAAATAACTTTTACCAGTAATAAAATAAAATGCACAAACTTATGCTATAGGGGTCAGATATAAATTGTTGATACACATTTTAATCTTTCTTTCTTCTTCAGATCATTGTTTTCTAATTAGAACATTGAAAAGAACTATGAAAATTTACACTGAAGTGCATTCTACTGCTTTAAACTGTTATGTCACATTTTCTGTAACTAGGGTGATTAGATAAACTCTTTTAGGAATCCATAAACTGTATACTCTTTTTTTTTCCTCACCAAAATCTCAAATTATACACTTTTCATTTAAAAATTATTAGTACTTGACTGCTTGCTGTTCTTTCAATTAGTTGTATATCCTTCAAAGCATAGCATGAAGTTGCTATTGAGAACAAATCATACAGCAACACTCCTTTTGATGGAAAAATTAGATTTATTTTCTATCAGACAGTTTTATGCAATTTTAAACCTAGGCCTAGAAGTTGAAGAAGAAAGAATACATACCTCTAGGCAACAAAATGCAGATTTTGTATGAGTATTAGTCTCAATTTTTTCTTTGTGTTACACAAATTTGCATTATATGGCAGTTCCCTGTATTTATCTACTTTAAAGGCTTCCAGGGTAACAGTTATCAAGATTTCCTACTACAATTTTAATGTTGTGGCAGTGCTATCAGATCATATAAGTCTACATTTCATAATTATTTTAAATCCCATATCCCTGGATCTAATGATCTTTTATTTCATTTTTTTAAAATAAAAAAAAAANTTTGAAAGTGGAATGACATCTAATGTTTTGTAAACTGAAAACTTTTATAAAATCTAAATATTAATTCTGATCTGTTATTTAGTTGTAAAGATTTTTATACTTACAACTGCATTATGCATGAGGGTGAATCAGAAATAAAATGTTTTCTTCAATAAATAGGACAGATGTTCTAAATATAAATAAAAGTATTTTATATCCTTAATAAATTTTAATTCTTTAACAAAATTTGTCAAATGTTACTATATAACTATATTATAATGTTGTTATAATGTAATCACAATACTAATGGCATAATGGTTTGATCCTGTTATTTTATTAAGTTATTTAGTGTTATAATAAATAACATTATAGCAATAATATTTCATATAATGAACTTTTAAGATTAGACTTTTACTGGTACTTAAAATTTATAAAACTGAAAATTACTTGAGTTGGTTTAATTATGCAAATAAAAGTAGTAATAAATGTAAGCTATAATTATTAACTTAACCATAAATCTATGCAGCAATCAGAAATAATAATAATAATTAATAAAATTTGAAACTTTGTCTTTAAAAATAATTATATATTTTGTAAATAAATATTTTTATCAGTAATGTATTAAATTTGTTAGTAAGTGTATAGAACAAAATCAATGCAAAAATAACTGTAAATTACATTTGAATCTGATATACTGTTGAAAAATGTTTAGCAGAAGTCCAACTTGAAAAATTTGTTTATCAAATTGCAATAGTCTGTGCAAGAACAAATATGTAAGAAACAAATTTAAAAAGTTTATTAATATTCTTAAACTAAATTTTCATTTGTGTTGACAGCAGTACCTTCCATTACAAATAACAGACTGTCCATTATGTGTACAGTTTTTGAGCCATTTTTTTTTATTCCATTCTCCCTGTAAGTTTTGCAAGTATTTTCTGATAGTTTATTTACATGGCAAGTAAGTAGACTTGTTATAAAAATTTGAATTCCCCTAATACCACTAAAAATAGTCCATGTAGATAGTGTCTGGATACCTTCCCTTCCGATTGTGTACAATGATGTGTTTCATGACTTCCTTAAACTGTACACATAATGGATGATCCCTAAATATCTGAAACTAAGGTCAAACATTATCAGAAATGACTTTAAGACATTAAATAATATATTTTAATGATTCTACCAAAAATTAAAGTATTTGCTGAAGATCTACTGTATACAATTACATTAATTTTCAGAATTATCCAGAATGTTAATTATTTTCAATCATTTCATTCTTTTAAATGATTGTAAATTTAACAATGTATAAGCAAAGAGATAATTTAATTTCTACAGTTACAAATAAAAAATATTACTTATATCTTTATTCCTGAAATACTGCAGATACATAGATAAATGCTTCTACTTAGAAATTATTTTAATGAATGTAATTTTAAACTATCAAAAATAAGTGATCTGTTAATTTTAGAGTTATTAAAATATTTTTGCCCAAACTATGATTGAATGAAAATTATAAGAAATTGGAAAAATATTCATCGAATAGAGGAATAAACTGTTTGATTTTATTTCTCTCTTTCATGGCTTAGAGATTCAAATTTTGTTTAAAAATTTCTTAGTTTATAGAATGGCCCAAAAGTCAGTCAATTATATTTTTGTTTTCTATGTTGCAGGTATACTTGTGAACCTAAAACATTATAATTTGTGTATTGAACAATTTTTGTAGATAATAAAATATTTGAATAAGATAGCAATTTAGTCTTTACAATGGTTGACTTTGGGTCAATCTATATTTGTCAATTATGAAATTTTAACCCAAGACAATGTTAAAGGTAAATATTGCTAGGTTTTTGATTAGAAAGCAGCTTTCAGGAGAATGGAGTACTTTCATACTATACTATTTTTCTGATTGATCCTCATGATTATTGTGATTTTGATATAATTAAATTATGTAAATTGTAGTCTAATTGAGCAATAGATGAAAGAAATTTTCATATCATTTGTTAGTAGAGTCAAACAGTGAATGTTTGAAACTGGAAAATCTATAATTTATTTATAGCACTTCCATGTAGTGCCTTGAATTTATTGATATAAATTATATAACAATTGTTTTCTCATCAGCACAAATATAATTAAAATAGGTGAAAATTAGAGATAATATTACTTGATAAAACTTTTCATGTCAAAAATTTAAACAATTGTTGTCATATTTTGTTAAAATAATAAAATGTTTGAAACTTAGCAATGAAATTAATATCAGATTTTAAAAATTGAACTACAAGCTAAAAACTACAAAGATGATACATTGATCTGGATAGAACTATTATTTGATTTCCATAAAATTGAAACTTATGTTGTTATTTAAAATCACTTAAAAATACAGTCAGTAAAAACATTTGATTAATAAAATTGTATTTAGTTTCTTAATAATTTACTTATAATTATTTTTTTATTATAAGAAGTTGTATATTTTTTCATTTCAAACCACAATAGTAATAATATAAGCTTATATGAATTTGTAAAATATTCTGCATTATCTGAGGAAAATTTAATTTTAAGACCTGTTTAATGCCTTTATAGCAGCTTAAATATTAAAGTTGTTAGATTAATACGGCTAATAATTTAATTTTTTATTCTATGAGATTCTTTATAATGTTAATTTAAAGAATACTTTTGCTTAGAAAATTTTTAAGTTCTATAATCAGAATTATAAAGATATGATAAAATTATTGATTAAATATTTGATTTTGTGAATTAGATATTGTCATCAAATCATAAATAATGCTTGTAACTATAAAAGATTTTCATTTCATTCTGAAAAATTAAACTCAAGACAAGACAAAACAAAATTATTTGAATTATTATATTATTTGAATTATAGTTGAGAATTATTGCATCTGAAATCATTTCATTGCTATGTTTTTATTATAATTTTTATTCAAGCAAGTTGTCCTGTTTGTTGAATGTAAATTGATAATGTAAGAGCTTTTGAAATAAAAGTTCTTTCTAGAGCATAAGTTTTTATGCCATTACATACTATAATTAGATAAACTGTCAATAGGTTGCAAAATTTATAAGAATTTTAAATCCTAAAGAAATTATTGTGAGAATTCTATATTAAATTGAAATCTGAAGACTATAAAGTATATGTACAGCTCTACAAATTCTTTACATTTAGAATTTACAAAGTTTTCTTAATTTGGAACTGACTTTTCAGCTTTAGAGCTAAAAAATTTAAGCCAATTTCAGATCATGATTAATTTCATTTAAAAACTAGAACAAACTCATTACATACAGTATGTCTCAAAAAACATATACACATATAATTCTATATACTGTATATATGTATATACACACACACCTATATCCACAATTCTATAGCAATTTGGTCTAAAATATGCATCTTATTTTGACTTGATACAATCAATGTGTTCCATAAATATTGCAGGCATTTCCAATAATACACAATAAAAAATTTAAAAGTAAATACAAAAGTGTTTTAGTGTATTTGTTTGAATGTTGCATTGTCAGTTTTACAGAACATTTTTACATCATTGATTTGGTTTTCAGCAAGATTTAAAGATTATAGTTTAATTGTTCAAATATAAATTGTGCATTTAAAATTGTCTTCAAATACTTTGATGACAGAGTACTGGGTCAATGTATATTTTCCTGTGGCAATTCTGTCACACCCAATCAACATGCAGCATCCATAATATCATAATTCTACTCATCAATTCATAGCACTACATACAACATGGTATGGAAATTGCAAAAAATAGCAAATATTAGATTAAAAACATTAAATTGAAAAATATAAAACTTTCAATTTAAAATAAAGTTTCGCCAACATTTAAAAAAAATTTCCATAAATCGTTACAAATTGCCTTTCATTTCACATGAAGTGTGTAGGCACATAGGCAGCAATGCATTATTCTATGAATCATCAGGTGACAGTGATGTGATCATGCAAAGTGGATAGACAGAATCACAGTATATAAATTGAGAATATTTCTCAATGTGCTATTCTAATTCTAGAGAAAATTCCCAAACATCAGAATTAAGTAAATATATATATTTTTTAATTTTTCGATATGTAAAATATATAACAATTCATTGTATAGAATACAGATTCTCAAAGATCATCTATTTGTAAATCATTTCAAATTAAAATTTTATCAGCACTTTAGAAGTACATCATTTTTTAAAGTTTAAATATCAGTTTTAAATGCTTAAAATATTTTGTTTTCTGTAAAGTCAAAAATGGAATGTCTTAGTATGTCATTTTGATTTTAGGTAAAAATTATAGTCAATTGAATTTTGTTTTCCAGCTACATTTTGAGAATTCCTGCTCTATAGAATGATATTTTTAAGTACTATTAACAACTTTTAAAAGTTATAAAGAATAAAACTAAATTAAAAAGATTTAGAGACTACAACTTAGTTTCTTCAATGATTGGAAACTCTTCAATTACATCTTCAACTTGATTCAATGCATTAATTAATTTCTTCCTAAAATTAGAAGTGGTATCACCTGACCCTGAAAAAAATTAAAAAAACAAAATTATACTTTTCTCATTTATTTAAATCTATAATAATTTATAATTTTAGAGAACAGAATCTAATAAAAACAATTTTATTAATGTGATATTGATGTGCCAAATACAGTATTTTAATGTTATTTCATAGAATAATAGTTGCCTGAATGAGAAATGTTACATTTTATCACTGGACTCTTTAAAGATTTACTGATAAACTTGAAAAATATCTGATAAAAATATCTTATATTGTTATTAGATATCCAATTATCACTTCAAAACTGATCATGTTTACCAACAGTTTAGAAATTAAATACACCTTAAATTGTTTCTTTGCAGACACACTAAGGCAGTGTTCCGCAACCTTTTTCTACTTGCGGCACACCCATGACTCACCCACGGCACACCAAAATGTTATTCCCCTCAAAAACGTATATTCTACTATTAATAGAATTACGTAATGCCACTAACCTATTATTATTGTTATTAAACAGACATCAACACCTACCTGTGAGCAAATTAATTTTACATATAATTTCTTAGAATACATAAAAATGCGTGGCTTGTAAAAATAAACAAACATCATCTTATTTCATCAGTGCTGCAGCAGAAAATGAAATACAAGCATAAGAAACACAACAACTGTGATAAAAATATATAAATAAAACTTGAAATTAACAGAATATGTAAAAGTTCACGTCACACCTTTCACCATGTGACGGCACACCGGTTGCGGAACACTGCACTAAGGTGACATATATCAACACTTGGCAAATTATTGACTATTTATTCAGTTGGATCAATAATTTGCCAAGTGTCGATATATGTCACCTTAGTGTGTCTGCAAAGAAACAACTTAATAACAACAACACAGTTTCATCAGAATCAAAAAAAAAAAAAATACACCTTAAATGTTTATATTAATCCAAATGATCTTAAAGAATAAAGTAGTGTATATATTTTGAATAAATTGTTAAAAATAACTCCAGTAATAACAAATACTACAGTTAAAGTAAATAGAAAAATATTTCATATAAAGTAGTAACTTAAAAATATAAAACAAAATTCTTGATGTTCTAGTATATATGAATATAAACTATTAGTAATCCAGAATATAGTTCTGTTAGTGTAGTAACTGATAAATCTATAGTTACTATAGAAATAAAGGATACAAATACAAAAAACAGAGCAGATATCTCTGCAACAGTTATATCATTTTTACATTAGAAATATGAACAAATTAAAATTTTTTTTAAAGATTTAACAAAGTACCAATGTTTGCTTCCTGAAACAAGTACAGTAGTGATTTCTTTATTTACAAAGATGGTGCTAAGCTTAGTAACTTTTTAAAATATAGGTATTGCAGAAAGACAAAATATTATAAGTAACTACATACAGGGTGTCTCAGTTAAACATTTCAGAACTTCTAAGGGAGGTAGGGTGCATTCCGACGACTCGGAATCATATAGCAATGCAGGGTTGGAAATGTTTTCCTGAAGTGGTAGATGGCGTTGCACGAAAGTTCTGAGCGTTCTTGCAGGAAATCGTCATTTCGCACAAGGATGCAGAGTTAGCCAATATGCATTTGGTGTACGGGACTGGAGATTGTAGTGAACCAGCTGCACAGCACTTGTACGCGGAACGATATCCAATGAGGCATATTCCCAGTCATAATTTCTTTGCAAGCCTGCACCAGAGGTTAGCTGTTTCTGTGTACATCACCGTTTCAGGAAAGCATTTCTGGCCCTGCATTGCTATATGATTCCAAGTTGTCGGGATGCACCCTACCCCTCTTAGAAGTTCTTTCTAGTACAATCTTATTATAGACATATGTTTTATAGAGAACATTGTTCTGTTGAACTAAATGCTTTGGAAAAAGGCACATTAAGGGACTATTAGGATTAGAGAAGTGTTAGAAAACTTGAACTAGAAAATAACTTGTAATCAACTAAAATATTTTCATTGTAAAGAAAAATTCTAAAAATCTAGGACGTAATATATTTATAAAAAGTATAAAAGAAAGGTCGACTCCACCATGTGGATTATGTTCCTGTAATGTTGAAAGAGGACAACAGAGAAGACAAGAATAATGTATTTGTATTGTCTTTAATGCTTTATATTTTTTACAATGTATTTTGATATAAAGATTTTCATTTTCAAATGAATCTTGGAGGCATAAGTTGTTCTAATTTATAATTAATACTGTACACTATATTTAAACATAATACAATAGATTTGGTGGATTTACAATATAATAGTTGAGTTTAGTGGACACTCTTGAGATTAGAGATTCTTAGGTTAGGTGTCCATTAAAATTTTTGTGTATTTTGCAATATTCAGTAGTTTTTTAAATAAATGATGCATGTTTTATTTTATTAGCTAATGTGTATTAAAATGAAAATTTGCCAGTTTAAAAAGTTTTGTTCTTGTTTTGTAAAAAACGTGATAAGAACAGAATTCAAAAATAGCTAAAGAATTTTCAAATTATAGTGATAATTTGGTAAATAATAGATGTTAATCATCAATCATCACATAGTGATGATTAACATAATTGCTCTAAACCACAATTACTGCAAGCTAAGCAGGTAGGATTATCAACCATGCTATCAAAATACCCAAGCAAAACACAAGGAAATTCTTTGAAACTGAAGATAAACATAATATTTTTTAAATAGTGTTTGTGAGAAACACAATTCATTATACTATCTGCCTACCAGAGGTTTTATAATAAGAATGGTAAGAAATTTTTATCTGTTATGAGTATCTGCTTAATGAAGGTGAATAAAATACATTAATTATATCTATTACTATGCTGGGAATGGATGTTTTGTCTGCTAAATCCAGATTTCATCATATATGTTTTTTAGTTATATTTATTTATTTAATTACACTGATCCCATTTTTCATGAATAATTGGGATTGAGTAATCCTTCATGAATGTCAAACTCTGAGTTCCATTTTCAATGCTAAATTTGTAACCCATTCCAAGACTAAGTATTACTGCTGTTTTAAAAAATTTTCAGAATAATGAATAGTTTTATTAAATTAACATAGTGTGCAATGGTTTATAGTGTTGCAAAAGTCATTTTATTTAAACCAAAAGAAAAAAATAAACAAAACAGTAACATAACTTATGACAGATACCACACGAATGAATGAGTGAAATTTCTCCATCCCCAATTTCTATTTCTCTATGTTTTTGCAAATTTGTGGATTTAATGTTTCTTGTAGAGCAGAATAATTTCAGTAATTTTATATGAAAATCTTATAATCATTATGTAAATTATATTTCAAAACAGAAGGATTATAGTACTAATAAAAATTTAAATATGATAAAAGATTATTTATGGTTAAATAAAGTTATTAGAATTGACTAGCATTCTAATTCAGGCCAAGGGTGCAAACACATCTCTTGGCCTGAACTCCAGAGCAATATCAATACTGGAATAAAGGTAATCTTTATTTCGCAACATCTCAAAGTTCTAGATTGATCACAATTGCCGTGTTTTTTCACTGGACTTGATCAATTCTAAAGAGCTACATTTGTTTGAGAAGATATTTACTACTTTTTTGAAAACAACAATAGGCTACTATTTGAAAAATAATACTGATACAGCACTCATCATTTATTTGCTCTAGTTGGCTGATTCATTTTTAACATTTCTTAGTTGAAGTATCATGAAGCATATCAACAAAAAGAAACAAAGATATTGGTAATAAAATGAGGTTATCATTTACAACATAACACTGATATCATACTTAGGTTATTTGTTCTCATTGCTGATTTAAATGCCCAAATAAAAATAAAAGCGGGGATTTTTCATTCCCAATATATCAGAAATTCAGCTCAAAGTCAAATCTGAAATTCTCTGTAATTATTATTTCACTAACTTGACCTATAAATGAAATTTCAGTATTTTTTAAATGAATGTTTCTTATTAATATGATTAAAGTGTTTTATATTATTCAATTTAATATTTTATTTCTATGAAATATTAAATAATTTTAATACTTAACAATATGCTGTAATTAACATTAGCATTAAAAGTTGATTGTTGAAAAACTATCAATTTATTTTTCAATATTTCTTTTAATAAGAGTGTGGGCTACTTGCAATAAGAAGGTGTTTAAATATATAAATTAAATTTATTTTTCTTTGTAATGACAAAATTTTAGATACAAGTTTAAAACAAATGTTTATCTTTAATCTACTTTTGTATCAATAACATAAAAATGATTGTAAGAGTTGAATTTACAAAATACTTACACATAGTAAAGAAATAAAATTGCTGAGTATTTTTAACACTGATATATTTTAGTATAACAGTTTTAAACAGCTAAAAATCTATATTCAAATTATTATGGAAAAAATCAATAACAAGTTTCTTGAGTTACTCTGTACTATAAAAGCAAATAATTAGATTTTATTTTACTTACATAAGGCAGAACTGTAGTTAAGAATGTTTTCTAATTGTTGAATGATCTTTTGAAATTCCACTTCAATACTCTGATCAAATTTGACAGAGCCATCCACACACAAAGATGGAGACTGAGAAGGTAATGTTTGGATTATTGTTAAATTCTTAAACGTATATTCATCATTGGCATCTTTGAATGATGAAATTTCTTTGGGATTTGTTATTGAATTTGATTCTTTGGAAGAAGAATAACTGTTAAGATCAATAGAAGGTTTTTTAATTTGCAAATTTTTTAAATCAGGAATAGTTTTGACACTTTCTTCCATTTCCTCAGTAACACTTTCCAGTTTTTTTAATTCGTTATGAAATCTTATAAAAGTACTTAAATTATTTGAGCAAATCATTTTTCCATTGGAAATTGGAGTACTTTCTAAATTTGTAACATTATTTCTCATAGGTGTCTCACAAATATGTTTATTTTCCATGTTTTTTCCCTCTTCACAGATATTCTGAAAAAAATTAATTAATTCAAAATATAAATTCTGTTTAAAAATTAAAATGAAATCTTATATTTAGAAAATGTAAAAAAATATTAACAACTTACTGACAGTATCCATTATCTGACTTTATAGTAATGGAATTAGTTTGTAATAAATTGAGTTATACAATGCATAAATAGTATAACTTGTGTTTATTTTTTAAAAATATGCAAATTAATTATAAAACACCAAAAGAAATTACTATTAATTGAAAGCAAAAGATTAAAAAAATTTATAATTTACAGATGAAATTAAATTTAATGCTTTCATTCCCACCCATTATATGACAAAATTGCACTGAATATGTCAATTTGTTTTTCGTAACATATGTCACTGTTTTACAGAGATTAAGAAGAATAAAACTTTTTCATTAATGTCCTTGGTAGGTGCCAATAACTCAATTTTGCATCATTACACAGAATTCAAATTCTATGAAGATACTTGAAATGAAAAACTACTGTATAGTTTTATTAAATATTTTCTGGAAAACAAAGAAATCAAGAATAAAGTATAATCTTGAAAATATTTTTGCTGTTTCTAAAAACTAAATAGTTGGATGATGAAGTTTTGTAAACAATTTTCTCACAAATGTCATTCAAGTAAATAAACATATATACAAATGTTTTCCTTTTCATAATTTTTTTTGCTACATCAAAAACTTATTTATATATATGTAAATTTTAATCTGGTAAGTCAATGTTGTTGAATTTGACAGATTTATTTGGCTGCAATTTTGAAAAAATTGTAGACCTATAAATTTCCACTGCGACCATCTGTCCTTCCTTAACCTCAAGAACAGAGTTAAATAGATGAAAGCATGTACGTAAAGCTTGGGGGCAGGAGGCCCTGATTAATTATATACGAACTTCTGGTTCAAACTGGAAGTCACATTATTTCAATTCAAACATTTTCCCCTGAAAACAGATAGATGACTGGCATGACTTTATTGCTAACAGGAAAAGTGTGATGTACAGGAGCAAGACACTACTAATTTAAGGTGGAGAGCATATATTTTAAATTAAAAATTGCAGCCCAGCTTTATGATAAAGTTACAACAAATAATTGCTTGTTTAGCATTATGAATGTTATTCTTGTTCAAACTTTCATATTTTAATCCATAATCAATATTACTTTTCATCACATGTGATAATCATAATTTTAATTAATGTCTGTGAGTAATTTAAAATATTTTTATCTCCTTAAATACCAATTTAGACATGGAAGTTTAAAATTTTAATAGAAGATTATTGAAAGACAGCACACTTTAACCATTATTGTAATGACATTAGTTCATGGTCTTTTATTTAACTTCTAAATTTGGATTTTTTAAAATAAATGCTAAAATTTATAAAAATAGTTTTCATATATTCTCCTGTCTGCAGATGACAAACAGGTTACATAACTAATTTAGTTGAGATCAACATAAAATTCCCAAAATGTTTTCATAGACTGGAAACATTCAAAAGATTCTAATATCACTTCACAAACACAATAAGCAGACAAATATTTTTTGATTATTGATGCTTAAAATGATTTTTTTCATTGATCTAGATCCAGCAGTCAGCAACCTTTCTCACCTCAAGGACCTCTAAAGTCACAATTTTGAATCCTGCAAACCAATATCATGAATTTTTTTAAACAATACAAAATCTGTAGAATAATAATCATAAAAGTTCAATTTTACTATATTAATATGAAACTAACATGTTTAGGCTTGCATTAATTTGTTATAATTAAAGTTCATTGCTGCTTGTTTGAAACAAGTTTATGGATTCTTCGTGCCTTTCCACGAAGGACGACAATCACACAATATTGTTTATTGTTCATTATTTATTGATAACAGTCACTTTGTTTTTGGTTTTAGATTCGAATAAAAAACCCCAATGAGTGAAAAAAGCAACTAAGCATTTTGCATTTCTTTCATAATACTTCGCGTAACCTTCAGTTGATCAATGTTCAAATTTCTCTAAGGACCACCCAAATTTTCTCACGGACCACTGGTTGCCGACCGTTGATCTAGACATCTTTAGGAACACAGGTGTGAATAAAATAACTTTTACCAGTAATAAAATAAAATGCACAAACTTATGCTATAGGGGTCAGATATAAATTGTTGATACACATTTTAATCTTTCTTTCTTCTTCAGATCATTGTTTTCTAATTAGAACATTGAAAAGAACTATGAAAATTTACACTGAAGTGCATTCTACTGCTTTAAACTGTTATGTCACATTTTCTGTAACTAGGGTGATTAGATAAACTCTTTTAGGAATCCATAAACTGTATACTCTTTTTTTTTCCTCACCAAAATCTCAAATTATACACTTTTCATTTAAAAATTATTAGTACTTGACTGCTTGCTGTTCTTTCAATTAGTTGTATATCCTTCAAAGCATAGCATGAAGTTGCTATTGAGAACAAATCATACAGCAACACTCCTTTTGATGGAAAAATTAGATTTATTTTCTATCAGACAGTTTTATGCAATTTTAAACCTAGGCCTAGAAGTTGAAGAAGAAAGAATACATACCTCTAGGCAACAAAATGCAGATTTTGTATGAGTATTAGTCTCAATTTTTTCTTTGTGTTACACAAATTTGCATTATATGGCAGTTCCCTGTATTTATCTACTTTAAAGGCTTCCAGGGTAACAGTTATCAAGATTTCCTACTACAATTTTAATGTTGTGGCAGTGCTATCAGATCATATAAGTCTACATTTCATAATTATTTTAAATCCCATATCCCTGGATCTAATGATCTTTTATTTCATTTTTTTAAAATAAAAAAAAAATTTAAGTAAGAATTTGATTAGAAAGAATAGAAATAATGATCAAGAAGAAAAGATACTTTGAAAACATTTATAAGGATCATATAAGGATTTATAAGGATCACATTTTAATCCACAGAATATAATTTAAAAACCATTTTTAAATATATGTAATTGGAAATAACTTAATTATAAGTAATGATATACAAATTTCTGTTAAAAGAATATATATTTTAAACTATAGATATTTAAAGATATTATTTCATTAAACAAAGAAATATTACAGATAAATTTATAATACACCTTGTAACAAAAAAATTAATAGTCTAGAAAAATAGTCTAAAAATCAATAATACTCAGTATGCACATATCTACTGGTTAGATGGCAGCAGTGAAAGCACAGAACAGTCTGAGAGTGCCAACACACTTTGGAATGCTCTGTACCTTCAGAGAAGCAGATTCTGGGGCATATAATAAGGAGCGTTGTTTGCTTGCATTTATAAATCTATCAATTATTATTGCAATTGTGTTAAATTCATTATCCAATGAGAATATCTGGACAATACAGTTTAAAACTGTATTGTCCAGAGCGAGTTTAAAAGTGGCCAGAGAACAAAATGAAAATGTAGATTTAGCAACCATCATCTGGATTACAATTATATGATTATATTGGTTGCAGTGGGTTTAGGAGACAGACTTATCTGCCACAAAGGTCTAGAGGTTCAGGACAACAACTGTTAAAAGAATCACACTGTAGTGGATATAACTTGAAGTCTTCAATAATACCTAGTTTTTCTGACCACATCCAGAGATATGTAGGATCTTCCATGCAGCAATGCAGTACTATCATACACTATTAGAAGGCAACTTCATTTTCAGCACTTTTTAAGACATCTCCTTTAACTATCCTGCCTTAGCAGCACTGTCTGGAATATAAATGAATCTGGATATCTACCAATGTCCAAATGATGCCATATGATGTTTAGTGATGAATGGCCATTTTTGTCTTGAAGCAGATCTCCATTGTATTCATGTCTGGAGTTCTAGCTTCCTTCTTTTACAATCAAGAAGGAAGCTTTAGTTATTGATAGCACCCAGCCATTACATCTGATGTTGCAGTCTGCATAACCATCTCCTATGACAGACAATTGCTATGTCATATGTTATGAGTATGGTTCTATGTTGAAAACATTTTACAGCTTAGCCTGCAGATAAATGCCAGCTAAACACAGCAGAACTCTTCCAGGAGTGTATATATAACATTGCCAACTTTATACAGATCAGCCAGATCTGCGTGCCAATTGAGCATATCTGGGACGTGCTGATGTGTCAGTTATAACAGTAACAGAATGTCAGCAAACAAGTCTAGTAGTTAAAAATGTTTAGCAGAATATCTCTCAGAATAACATTCAACTGTTGTTTAGAACCATGCCATGCTGAAATTTGACATACATCACTATCAAAAGATTAATACATAGTAAAATGTATCATTTATTTCTCACTACACATGCAAAGTTTCATAATGATATTAATTCATGCTAAAAAAAATTCTATTTTTGTCAGAAAGTGTAATTATAAGCTTTTCAACTTGTAATTAAAAATAATTTTCACTTTAAAATGAAAAATCAAATCCATTAATATCAAATTTAAGATAATTTAAATTTTTTTCCAAAAAAATAAATATTTTAAATTCTAACCTCCAGTAATTTCCGAAATTTTTTAATTTGAACTTCTAATCTATGACTATGATCTTCCAGTAATTGCCTTTTATTTAAAAGTTCTCCTCTTTTTCTAACACTATTATTTTCTTCTGAAGAATTACTTGCATTGGATGTTTCTTCATCTGAATGAAGTCGTTCAATTTCTACTACCAAATGTCTACAATGAAAAATGTACAGTTTTCATATTATAAATTATAATGACAATCTAAAATATATTATTAAGAAGAATTATGCCTACCTATTTTCATTTTCCAACCAATTTACAATATTTTCAAGTTCCTTTATATATCTTGATTTTAAATATATATTATTTATCTAAATAGTAATAAAATATAACATCAAAAATAATACTTAAAACATTTTTCATATTTAAAATGAAATTTTAAAATTAATTATAAAACTTTAAAAGTAGTTGTGGTCAGTCTGGAGCTACTGAGTTTTCTATGATCTGCATTCTATCAAGATTCTTACAATAACTTATTTAAATTTAATCTTAAGTAATTTACAATAACTGTGTGTGTCAAGTGAACACAACTGTACACAACAAATCTGAAAATTAATTATCCATAGTATTCACATTTCCTTTACCAACTATAATTTTTTTTATTTAGATTTTACATAAAATCAAATGTTAGGTCCAATTCAATATCAAAACAATGTCATAAGGCTTTTTATTATAGAAAAATTGCCCACAGATGCTCTAAAATATTCAAATTAAAAGAAATGCATATTAACTAGATGTTTAAGGCTACTATTGTGTAATCACTTATTGTGTAATAAAATGCTTTTCCTGGAGCATAACTTTCTATGGAGCAGAGACTTGGACCTTAAGGAAAAAGGAAACAAACTACTTTGAAGCATATGAAATGTGGTTATGCTGAAGAATGGAGAAAATCAAGTGGACAGAAAAGGTTAAGAATGAAGATGTTTTAAATTTGGTTTAGGAATAGCGATCTCTTTTAAAAACAATACAAAGAAGAAAAAATAACTGGCTAGGTCATATATTGCGAGGAGAAGGATTAATGCGAGTGGCATTAGAAGGAAAAATTGATGCAAGAAAACAAAGAGGAAGAAAAAGAAAAGTATTGATAGATGATGTTTTACTATGCAAAACTTATAAAGAAATAAAAGAGGAAACCAGAAATAGAGAATGTTGGAGAAGGAGAATTCTATAATTTGACTGCTTTCCACGGACCTGTCCTAGGATAGAACACCCATGAATGAATGAATGAATGAATGAATGTGTAATCACAATAGTAGCCTTTACTTTAATATGTTTTAAATAACAAAATCAAAATTCTGTAATAAAGCATTATTTAGCACAGTTTCAGGAAAAGGCAAAAGAGTATTATATTATATTTACTAATTCGATTTCAGAAATATTTGCAGCTCCTCTTGAATCTGTCTGTAATAATCTAGATTCTTTCATGCTACATGTTTCATCTTTGGTATTCATAAGTTCTCTAAATAAAGTCAAATTTTATAAGTTTAAAATTCAGTAAAAACTAGTGAAAATTTTTATTTTAATTTAAAAAAAATTCTGTACCTTTTTCTTGTAATTGCCAAATGTGAATCTATCATCAGATAATTCCATTTGCAAGTAGATCGTTGAAATATACTTAATTTATTCTGTATAGACTTTATTAAAGCTTTCATTACTTCCCAAGAAGATAGCTTGAAATATAAAATATAGATTAAAATTATTTCAACTAAAATAGCCATTAAAAAGTATATTCTTTACTTACTGGTTGGCAATATTCTTGAAGAGGATGTTTCAATTTATGACTTTTACTTGTGTAACCATAAAAGAAACAATTCTGGCACAGATTATAGCCAATGCAATAAGTACATTGATATCTATATAATGAATTTTGTAAACTTTAATGAAATTATGAATTAAAAACTTATATCTGAAATATGAAATTAAAATTTTTATAAACATTTTAAATAGTTTTGTTTGAAGAATGAAAAAACTACAAAATGTGCTGAAGTTGTACTTTCATTTGGAATTAAACAAAGATTTAATCATATTTTAGTAATTTCCAATTGAATTAAAATAGTGGTATGTAATAAAAATAATAAATTTTAAAAATGTGAAAAATATCAAAATATAAAACATAAAATCTCTAATTACTCCACTTTTTGTCAGAAAGAGAAAATATGAATTATAATTTTTTAATATAAAGTCAGAGCAAAAAAAGCAAAATACAGTTTTATTTTTACAATATAACACATAAAATATTACTTTAATTTTTGAACATAATCATTAATAAAAAAATCTCATTTTTCCTCTAATTTTTCTTTACTCATTGTTTATTCACACAATAAACTTTTTCAATAACTTATTAATCTATTTATATTTTGAAACAGTAAATATTTATTATCTTTTCTGAATTTATTTGAAATTAATTAATTAATAACATTTAACAAGATACAAGTCTTCTCAATGGAGAAGAAAATTACAGAATTTGAAAATCAAATAAAATCATTAATAGTAAAAATAAAACAAAATTATAATCATTTGATATTTCCAAATAACTTTAGTGTAATTTATTAAAATTTTATGTAAGAGTTTTTTTACTGATTCTGTCCACATTTCATGTAAAAGTATACAGTAAAGATTTAAAAACTATCATAGGAAGTTCAAGATTGTCACACATAGTTTTCAAGAATTATCAAACAAATGGATAAGCATTACAACAGAACTCTAATCATCCATAATCACAGTTGTTGGTACTATCTTTGCTAAATCTTTAAGAATAATTAAAATCCTCCAAACAGAAAGCTTAATACTAGAATCTAAAAGTAACTAGAACCAATAGCAAGTTAATCAAAGAGCTAATTTAAACAATGAAAAATTATTAGAAACCTAGAAAATTAAAATCCTTACATTCAATAGTCATTTTTTTCACTTAGCTGATACTTGTTAAATAACTTAAATGTTATTTCAATTACATGAATACAAAAGCTATTGACAAATTCCAAAACTCTGTCTTCTTTAATTTATTATTCTACACTTCACAACTGAGTGCATAGGCAGACACTGGGCATCTTTAACATCACTCTTTATTCAGGAATATCTTATTTGCCAATATTTGTTTTGGGCATATGCCCTTGGATAAGAAAAATAAGAGCTGACAGATGAGTGGCATATGCCTGAAATGTGTATCTGCAAGTAAGATATTCTTGAAAAAAAAGTGATGTTAAAGATGCCCAGTGTCTACCTAAGCACCCAGTTCTAAGTATATAATAATTACAAAAGTTTTAATAAATAGTTTTACAGATTGATTTGTTGATAAAATATACTTGAAGTTTCACTAGAAACTATCTGAATCCTAGCCTGTCAGAAGAACAAACATTAAAGATTGTTAGCAAACATCTTTTAAATGTTTCAACAACATTAATTAAGTAATTATGTAGTCACTTAATTATACTGTTCATATTCACTGTTCATAGTCACTTAATTATACTGTTCATATTTATTATGCTTTGATATTTATATCAATATTTAAACAAAATGCCTTACGGCATTTCTGTCAATGTATTCTGACCGAATGTTTCATCAGAAGTTTCTATATTAAAATACAATCTAATCTCTTATCAGTAAACTTTAATCAACAATTTTTTAACCACAATAAACCATTTCAATTGTTTATAACTATCTTATGAATTATAGATATATTTCTGAAATCATCTGATTTTCATTTCAAGTTCTTCTAATTTTTTAATTTATAATCTAATAATTTTATAATTTAAATTAAATTACTGTATTTGTTTGTCATTGGTATGTTAAATGAGAAGATTAATTTTACCACTTTTCATTTATATTATAATTTTTATTTGTAAGAGAATTAAAAATCTTCACAAATGATCACATTTGTAGAAATTTTGATAGTATAAATATTAGTAATGGCATTTTACTTTTAATGTGAATATTGCACTATAATTTGTTTCTTTTAGTGTTTCAAAATATCAAAATATATAAATATCAAAACAATTCCTGTAATGTTTGCTTAAAGGACTACACATTGAAATTTATATTAATTTATTTATATTTTTTAATCAAAAAATATTAATAATAATAAAAATAAAATTGTTTATAAATTGTTTAAGACATTTTCCAAATATAGTAGAAAAAAAGAATTACTTACCTAAGACCAATAATCGGATATATCTTACAAACTTCACATTTAACAAAATGTTCAACTAAAATAAAAGCATTTTCAATATATCAATAGTTATCATTAATTTTAAAGTATTCTACCATTAATAATAAGTATATAAAATTCATTTATTAATGAAATTCCATGGTTGAGAAATTAAGATTATAAAACTTAATATACTTAAAAATTTTTAATAATACTTAATAAACATAAATAAAAACATTTTTATTTAGAGTTTGAATTGTGATGATAATTTTTCAAAAATTTATAAAAATATACACATTTCAATTGAATTACTGATTTGTAATATCAGTTTTACTTATATCGCTCACTTTTTTCTGCAGTAATCAGTCGAAAATGAGTAGAGATCCACACTAATGTTTGTGGTTCTTGCTTCATCCAATTTAAAAAACCAGATTCTGAAATCCAATTCAATTTTGAATTCTATATGAAAGAATAATAATAATAATTAAAACTATAATATGCATAATTATACAAGAATATAAGATGTATTTAAGTCAAATTTTCTCTAATCTTTTATAAAAGCATTTATATTTTCATCAATAAACAAAAAAAAAAAACCTCATCTACAATGCCTGAAATATGTAAGTATAATATAATAGATGAATGAATGATGAAAGTAAGTTATATTAAAGAGTAAACAATTCTATATAAATAATTATCATCTGTTTATGTTTTATCATAGCTTTTATGAAATTATGATTTAAAAGTTTCAAAATTGATTGAAAAATAAATGTCAGATAGCTTTATTCTTTGTTCTAAATATTTTTACAATTAAACATCTAAAAATCTAAAATTTTTAACACAAATAAATTAGTTTTTTTTTCAAATGCTATTTATGTTATAATTATCAGAAAAAAATATTTCATAAAAGTTACATTAAATTATAATAAAAAATAGTAAGTGATATGATAATAATACAAGAATTAAAAACCATAAAATGTAACTTGATGAGAATTTCCATATATAATATGAAATACTGTAGTGAATGACCATATTTTTTAAATTTCAGATGTTTATAAATATATACAATACGCTTCAATAATAAATTATTTAAAATTCTTTGAATTATTCTATATTTATTCATCCTAGAAATATAAAGAATGATAATAGTTAAATAAGCAATTAAGAACTAAGTTAATTTATTTCAATAATGACTAATATGATAAACTTTTTGATTTCTCTTTGCCTAAATAAAATATCCAGTTAATCAGAACATACAAATCATTATGAATTTAATTTAAATAGAAAAAATTTTATTGATCAATATTTATTTTATTTTCCATTGCACATGCATCACAATATTAACAGTGTAAGATATTTATTTTATAAATTTATATTTTATAAATTTATTTAATAAATATAACCTTATTTGGTTTTTAATAATCATTTTATGGCTTTATCATATTTCTATAACAAATTTCAGATATACATACCCATTTGCAACAACTCTCCACAGATGCAGAAACTAATTGTGTTCCAAAATTTAACTTTTCACCCAATATTTCTGGAATCTGAATTATAAAAGCAATAAATTTTATTTAATATAGTATTGAAAGAATATTGTTTCAAATATATATCACTAATCTTTATTTTTTGTCAAAATAAAGCACTGTGTTCGAGAAGATTAAAAATATTGGGTAAATTTCTTTTTGCAGTAAATTAGTAATACTAAATTAAAAATATAAATCAAACTGCCATATTTACAAATCATGTAAGGCATAAAATATTATAAATAATTCAATTACTTTAATAGTTTGGTTTATATATAAATAGCTTCTGCATATTGTAATCACAATGTTATCAAAATTAGCAATTCCCAAACCTACAAGTTACAATACATTATATTAAATTGGCTTATTGTAATCAGAACTTAGTTATTATTATCAGTTTGGGTAAGTCCCAAAGTGATTACAATAAGTGGAGTATATTGTACTTGTTTAGTTTATATCCATTAGACATACTATTAAAAACATAAAATTCATTTTTTTTTATCAAAGGCTTTATGTATTTTTCTAATAAAATATATTATAAATGACAATATCTTACCTTTGCTATATTATAAAGAATAATATATAAATTCTTCTTGCTTAAGAAGCCATTGCTGCCAATAAATTTACTAAAAATAACTGAAATATTAAGTAACTAGTTTTATAACATTTATTCTAATCATGATGATAATTTATTTTATTTATTTTCAAATTTACTCACACTTGTATTTTTCAATTAAAGGAGCAGAACATAATATAGAAAGGAAAATAGTCACTGATGACAATTCGATATTGTCTTTCTTTTCTCTGAAAAATTCAATTACAATTAAATGATTAGTTAGTAATTCATATTTATTAAATATTACTCCCTCTTTCCCATAATAAAATTAGCAAGTGAATATTTAAACAGGAATTATTGGCGAATACAGCTGTAAGTTATGTTGTATCGCAAAATTGTGAAGCCTTCAATCAAAATTGATTTTTCATGACATCTGTCATTTGTTATGACACATTTTTCAATTTTTGGTTTAACCTAATTATTACAAATTTAAGTATTTTTCTAATTTCATCTGCTGATCGAAATCAATTGTTTAATTTCAGTTGAATATCAACCCATTATAAAGGTAAAATGAAAAAAAGAGAGTTTTCAAGCAAAGATCGAGTTCAGATTGTTCAGTTCTTGATGAATCGAAAGAAAAATGAAAAGCAAAGCTTTGAAGCCAAGAGATCCTACCTACAAGTTTAAAATGCAGTAATGAAATTATTGAAAAATTCAGAAACTATCTGAACACAAAATGAAAATTAGGAGTAATATTTTTAATTCATTGTTTAATCTAGTTTTTTGATAATAAATGTTGCATTCTATATTTATTTTGTTTTGCTACTATTATTAAGGGACAAATTAAATTCATTAACTGTTACTATTATTATGAGACAGAGGGAGTATTTATCACAAAATGCACTATAAATGAAGATCAATGAAAACTTATCATTGACATGCAACAAAAGTTATATTATAAAATTCATAACATATTATTTACAGATGTTTCTGCTGGTTAAATTTGCAATTTGAATTGTAATTTGCAAATAATTAGCAGAATTTTAGATTTTACTTAACACAGTCCTATATAATCTAAATACAGTATTAGCCTATATATAAACTTGCAACAGGCTTTAAAAATGTTACTTACATGCCAAATAAATTTTGTAAAAAGTTGGATAAAATTTTTGAATAAAATTCTGCTTGTTCTGTTTCAGATAACTCTCCTTCCATTTTTGTATAAATGCAGCATAAAAGTTTTTGTAATTGTGTATAATCCAAAACATGCTTTTGGAAAGAATATCCTAAATTTTCATAAATATTGTTGATCAGACTTATTTTAATCCAATGCACTAAAAATATAAAATATTAAAAATAAGTTTAGATAAACCTTTTATTATTATTTAATCATATAATATTTAAGTTTATGACAATAACTTTGAATATTATATAGTATAAAACTAAACAATATATACAAACAAATTTACACTAATTTTATCATCATAGTACTCATTCATTCATATATTGACAATATTTTCTGTTTGTTTAAACTTTTTATAGAATAAGGTTCAAACTTTTGTCTAGTATATATAGATAATTATGCTAGCTAGACATTTAATAAATCTTTTAATTTACTCTAATTATACTCAAATGAGTTTTGATAAATTTTTTTTAATCAACTAATTGTGAAATATTATAGTCTATCACTTTTATAGTAATTGGGCATATATGCTGAAGTAATTTTAATTGTTAATATTCATAAAGATGCCAACATGGAGATATGTTATATCCAGGGCTGGATTTGAGGTGATTGGAGCGATTTGTACCAATTGGGCCCCCGCACTTGAAGGGGCCCCGCAGGACATCAAAATTTATATATTTAAAAATAGTTTCAAATTACAGAATAGATTAAACAGTTTAGCGATCATGTCGATTGAGAGTCAAGAAGCAAGCCAGTTGGATTTTGATACTATTTTAGATTTTACAGAACAGAAACTTTGGAACATATAAAACATCTCTTTATAGGTTTATATTCAATAAAATTCAGTTATATTCATTCATCAACACATTAGAAGATTTTTCATGGCAAAAATTTATATAGTTATACTCATTTAAAAATATAGAAATACTGTTAAATGTTAATTAATTTTGTTATTTAAAGATTGAAGGGCCCTTCAAAAAAAATTCAATCGGGCCTCGCACCTATTGCATCCATCCCTGGTTATATCATCAAAATATATACTAAATTGGTCAACTGTTAGTCATTATTTGTTTATACCAACATACTTCAACTGAAATTTTGTGAAATTTACAAGAAAACAAAATGTTTGAAGTAGAAATATGTTTGAAAACAAGCAAATTAATAAAAAGTAATACCTAACATGTGTGGAATGTTTTTATTTTTAAAGATATATATTTAAGCAAAGAGTTTGTTAGCAAATAAAAAAGACATTGTTAATATTTAATTTTTTAATGTTCATTTTCATATATGATCTTAATTGTTTAAAAGAAAACTATAACATAGCACTCTCCTTTCTTTCAAATTTGCATTCACTAAGTATTTAACAATCTTATTTCTGTAAAGAACTTTGAAACCTAGAATACTGAAATGTATATGAGATATTGCTGTTTAAACTTAACATGTATTAATCAACAAAAAATATTGATAGCAAACTTAGCCTTTATGACAAAAACTATTAAATTAATAAACAATTTAAAAAGTATACTGTATTACTAAAACCTGACTGTACAATACATTAATGACAAAAGTAAATGCAACATTTTCTATTTATGAATTCAATGGTGATAAATGAGATAAAAATATGTTCTCACATCACTTACTTACATTATCATAATCATCATGATAATGAGCTTATACTGTAAAACTAATTTCAGATATTAATGAAATTCTGCATCCATAAGTGATGGAGCAAAGAAAATGCATAAATTTTTAATCTAAATTTAAATTTAAAAAATATTATAAAATAAACATAAATTAAATTTCCAGTATAGATAAGATCTTAACATTATAAAAAAAATTAATCTAAAGTTCAATGTATCAATAAACATACATTTCAGCATTTTTTGGATATGACGTAATTTCATGGCAGTTCGATAAGCAGCGTACTTGATCTCATTAAAACTTTCCAATTCTTGTATTATTCTAATGTATTCTGGATGGTCCCATTGAATAATATTGGTTGAGTACCTTCAACAAAATATTATTTAGAAACATATGGCAAATAAATATAAACTCTATATTAATTAATATAACAATATTAGATAATATGAATACTTTCTAATACTGAATAAATAGTAGAAAAAAAATCTTACATTCATCTTAAGTTTGCATATTCAGTAATGTTTATATAACAGTAAATATTCAATTACACAATTCCTTTAAATATTTAACCTTTAAGTTTAATTAATAATTCCAATATTAAAATATTATTTAAAATCTTCTCTTAATGATTTTTAACCTTAAACATGAGCATAATTAGAAATTCTGTCTTTATGTTCTATTATTTGTGAAGTTTCATTTATGAAATTGTTCAATTTTTTCTAACATTTAAACAATAACAAATTTTTTAAAACAAATTACTGTAATACAGTGTATTAGCTTTAAAATATATTATTTAATTTCAGAACTGAATTATCTATCAATTGAAATTATACAAAATTACAGACGTTATAAGATAAGCTGAAGATCATCAAACTGTAAACTGAAATGATTTGTTTACATAAATTTTTTACGTGTAAATAAATCATTGCTTATAATTGAAACTAAAAGAAAAGCAAGCTCAATTTCTGAATACTTACTTAAAATTAGGAGAATCTTCCGATACTTTAATTTTCTCGCAATTTTCAAGGCCATCTGTTTATAATAAGAATACAATGATTTAATTTAATGTGTTAATTTCTTTCGACAATTGACTTTAAACAAGTAATGTTTTACCTTTCAAAGGAAGTACTCGATTCATTGTAGTTATTTTATAAAAAAAAACACAAACTAATATATAAACAGAAACACAGATAATAGAGAATAACTTAATGATTACATCTTAACTTGTTAAACTTTCCGCGAAAATTTGAAAATGTGATGTAATTTTGTGGTGTGTTTCTATTGGTCTATTCTTAGTATTATTATATCGACATATCTTTTTTGTTTTATTTATTTATTTGCAAAACTATCAATTAATATATAAATAAGTATTATATAGGCCTATATACTTGTATTTTTATATACGGTAAATAAATTATATCGTGGACACGATTACGTATCATGAACACGTGCGTCGCCACGATCGATCCTGGCAATCTATTGACATCGTGCATCAATGTTCTACTGTATTTATAAATATTTAAATAATTTATTAATTGTATTAATGAATAATGATATTTCGAAATACAAATACTGTACAGTCAATTCCGCTTAATTGGGATACATTCGATTAAGCTTCTGTCCCAATAAAGAAAATTTTAAGGGAACGGACAAAATCTAAAATGAAAAATAAACAAAAACCATTCACTTAAAAATATAATTTATATTCGGTATTATATCCCTTACATATATGTATGGTACATATGTGTAAATAAATTCAATTTCAAAAATAGCATATTAAAATACGGTATATTAAACAATTTCCGCTTTGATGGGAAAACTGGTATAATTTCATTTATAATTTGAATAAATTAATTCTAAAACTCGAAAACGACATTTATTATTTTTTTTTTCTGCCCGAATATCCATTTAAATAAGTGCTAGATTATTTCCGTTTCCCCAACTAAGTATGTGGCTGCAGATAAATAAGCAGTTTAGAAAAGACATGTTGGCAGCTATTCGTATGACCAATTTTTATTATAGGTAGAGGGTCTATTTAACATACGCAGCAGAAGTAACCTCCTTTTCGAAGATGATTGGCCCAATAACTCTGCTAGCACTGTTTTTTTTTTTTTTTTTAAACTTTTTCCACCCTGTGGGCACTAAGGGGATTTGTTTGTTTGTGAAGTTATGGCCCCTAGGCAGTTATTTAGGCGTTATAGACGTAGAAAAAAAACCCGGAAAATTCTACGCGGCCAGCCCGTCAGGGCGAGGCGCGAAACCACGACCGAACTCCCAGTTTTCAGGGTACTAAACTACTTGGCCACTGGTGGACCTACAATAAACACATGTTCTAAATTAAACGCCAACTTCTAAAATGACTGTTAATATTAATCAATCATTGAGATCAAAAATGTAAACTTAATTTCCACAATAACAATACCTTATCTCACTGATAATTATTTATTAACTGTAACAAACGTTTTTAAACTGTTCTAAAGGCCATCTTCAGATTTATTAAAATTTATGGAACATTGATAACTTGTTAACATTAATAAACTTTTTCAACGTGTTAATAAATAATTCTCAGTGAGATAAGTATGTGGAAATTAAGAAGCATCTAGCTGGGTATTAATTTAGTAAAAATGTAAACATTGTATTAATAGTACTTTTTGAGTTTTAATCTCATTTCTACAGAATGAGATTAAAACTCTTAAATTAAAAAGTTATTAAAGTTTTGTGTGAATTACTTTTCTTTTAGTTAAGTTTCTATTTTTAATTTTTGACGTAAATTTATGAAGTCAGAAATTTCTGGTTTATTATAAAATTCTAATACGAAACTAATAAAGTTATTTAAAGAAAAACCTCTAAAACCGAGATAATTTGAATGTTTTACTATTTTATTGCGACAATTGCTCGTTTGATAAGAGTTATTCGCTCGTTGTAGTTGCAAATAATTAAATAAAATCTCAAATTTATTTACTTAGTAACTGTAGATATTTTATCTAAAAGAAATTTAAAAAAAATTAATTTGTTTTATGTATTCCTATTTTATAATTATCAAGTTCAGTTGAAATACTTAATATCGGTAAAATATGATATTAATGGTAATTACTTAAGAATATATAAAAATATTTATTAACTGATATATAAACTCATGAAAAATAATAATCTTGCTAGATTTCCACGTAATGAAATACGAAGATCGTTATGCATTATAGCAGCCAGAAGAAACAATTGCAGACCAAGCAATGTTTAAAACTTTGTTCGGCTCATTTTAGTAAAAATCAGATTGATAGAGCATCAATAAGTTGTATAAGATTATATGAGGTCCCTGATAGAACCGAACTGTCACGAAATTCGCGAAAATCGGTTAATTTAGAGAAAAGTTTAATTATTTTAAAAAAGCAAGAAGACAAATGTTTGTAGTCGGACACCTTTTGTTTATGTTGAAACTGCGACGCAGAAACCATAAATCGTAGAAGGAATGTCATCCTGATCGGTGAGAGATCGAATTCAACTTCGATCGTTACCTTTCTCGCGTTCCAGGTTTGAGTCCCGTTACGCTTAGTAACGAGGGAAGCGTAATTGAGGGAGAATGACCAATCAGAATGGACGAAAGAAAGAACGGATATTGATATCAAGGACACAGTGCACTCGGGTAATTAGCGTTTTGGATAACTTTGGCATCATGCAATGCGCACGCCAATTTTCTCCTATTGTACTCGCTTTGACGTCGTTACCCCACTTCGACGAGCCACCCTCTCGACGACGAACTGCATCATCTGTTGGAATAAACGATTGAAATTATTGTTAAATGCTATAAGACATCGTTACGCACAACCGGTGTCTCGTTTCATTCTCCCCTTTTCAGCGCTGACCTTCCGTGAGTCAAGACAGTGTAATTTTTGTGTATTCTTTGTTACATAACCAGATACGCGAGTCCAACTAGTTTTTACTAATCTCCGACAAGCAACATCAAGTCTAACATCATCATCATCTCCGTCATCTCTCCCTGCATCGGGGCCATTTCGAACCGTCTTGAACCATCACGAAACCTTTATACAGGGATCAACGGACTTGCCGAACTTTTTCATCCTTGGAAGTGAAGGAATTGTTTAACTAACTTTCCACATCAACTACCTGTGGACATTCGTATAAGCATTAGTTTACTATAATAAATGGTTTTGTTGTAAGGACTTGTGTCATCCTTGCCTCCAGCACCATCACCCACAGACGAACAGACTTAAGCCAGGGATAGTCAACCTTCTTACACCTACCGCCCACTTTATCTTTATTGGTAGTAAAATTTTCTAATCGCTCACCGATTTCGCAGTAAGTTTTGCCATATTTGTTAAGATTATTTACTTTCTTATTTTCAGTAATGATGCAGCACAATAAATATAAAAATTTATTATAGATTTATCAAATAAATAATTGAAATGTATTTGTCTAATTTGTCTAAAAATAGGCTAAATTTAAAGTTGAGAATAAATATAGTTTATTATGTATATTATATGAGAATTATATTGTGTATTGTATGAGAATATTATAGTTTATTATTATATATTAGACTAAGTTTATTTTTTGGCCTATTAATGGAAACTTCGGCTACTTCAAGCAGCTGCAGTTTCCATTATTTTAGATCCGACCAGACAGTAGAGACAAGGTTACATGGTCTTTCTAACATCACTTGGTTTTTACAACCTAAACTTCCACCGAGAAAATTATTATACTGTACAGAACATCTGCGTAACTTTACCTTAAAGTATTATTTTATAACAAATACTGAATGAAATGAAAAAAAATCAATGTAAAATTATTTTTCTTTAAATATTCATTTTATAAAAATAAATGATTTATTAAATAATTACAAAATTGATACATAAACAATTTGACAAGTTATTAATGTTTAAAAATAATAAAATAAACAGTAAATGAAATTCTGATAAATTTCATTTATAGAATTCAAATAATGAAAAAGTATTTTATGATTATTTGTGTAAATACCTTTTTCTACGAACTCTTCATTTCATATTTTTTGTACGTATTTCATTCCATACAAAAATTAGCAATAACAGAACGAAAATCTCCACGAACAGAATGCTTCATAAAGTATGGCAATAAAGAATTATATTGGCCTTCAGACATCAAGTATTTTTTATCGTCACCAGATTCGCTCTCATTGCATAAAACAACAGGTTTCTCACCTCGACAATTAAACTCTTTTTTAATTTCTTCAGTAACATCTTCCTCAATTTTTCTAAAACTATCAATATTTCTATCGCATATAATAGAATATTCTGTATTACAATTGCAAACAATGCCATAAAAATAAAATTGGAATTTATCCCAACTGTAGCTCTCAAATAAATATTTTAAGAATTTCACAGATTCATACAGATCGATATATCTAACAGAACTACTCGATGTGGCAGGATCGTCAGAAAATCTTCTGTCAAGCAATACACATATCTGAAAGTCGTGCGAATAATTCAGATTACTGTGGAATTTAATTAATTCTTTTTTAATATTTTCCCAGTCATCACTACGATCTGGAATGCAGAAATACATTGTATTGAATTTGCAAATATTTGATAATTTCAAGAATTCGTCTAAACAATCGAAATAAAAAACTAATTTTGTTTCTGCGCAAAACAGTTGTTTATTTCTTTCGTTTTTGATTTCGTTGTAAAAATTCAGCCATGTTACGGGATGCAGGAAGATTCTTCGTAGAAAATTAATAAAGTTGCCTGCAAATGGATTATCTCTAAACAAACCGAGAATAAAGAATAAAATACCGTCAACCTCTGGTAAAGTAACTACATCGATCGAATCGAAAATGTAAAATGCCATAATAAATTCGGTAAATAATCGATGAATAAAGTCGAAATATTCTCCATTATCCTTAGCTGTACGTTTTACAAAAATGTAGAGATCAAGGAAAAATTGGCATTCCTCTTTACTGAAAGCCTTATGCAAATCTTTCTCTTTGACTTTTCTTGTTTCTAAACCGTTATCCTTTGTAGAATCAAGAAATTCCTTTACGTAATAAACTTTTCCCAGCTTAATAATTAAATCTTCTCCGTCAAAATATTTTCCTCTTTTTAGGTTATGGATTCCATTTTCCTTTTTCTTATACTTTTCTATAATAAGACGGAAAATTAACATAAACACATCGGCATTTGTCATTACGTATCTGTCTGATTTACTTTTAGGAAGGCAGCATAACATGTACAGCATAAAAGGACATTTCGCTAATTCGAAA